AGTTTTTATTCTTTGTGCTACAGCTAATGGTTTTACTGACATCCTACAACATGCTGTTCAGTCTTCTTTCAGCCCAGATAGCCATTCCTGTTTGGCTAGATCAAGCAAGGTTCACATTCCTGCTACATCCAGAACCCACTGGCTTCCATTTGCTTTTCTAGTTTGAAGGAATTTCTCTTCTCTAAAAATCACACTTAGAGATGAGGTAGATAGTCTGTAGACATCTGTCCTATGATGCATGTCTTCCTTGAACATAACGGTGTGCCTTTGGAAACAAGTGACCAGAAAGATGATCTAACTTCTCAAGGTGTCTGTTTCCCAATTTGGAGACTGCAGGGAGTTGTGAAACCTGGCTTATAGTGATCGAGGGAGAATGTCCCTGGAAGCCATAGCTCAGAGTGGCCAGGGTTATCTGCTTGTCTATTGGCGATCCTTGCCATGATTACCATTGTTTCTTTGAGTGAATGCCTCTTCTTACTCTTGTAAGCCAAAGGACTCAGAAAGAAGCCACCATCCTATGAAGATTAGCCTGTATACCGAGGACTGCAACTGGCCAAAGGGTAGCTAACAGAAACCTGAGACTCTGGCCTTAGAAGCTTCCTAGCCCTCTCATGAGGCCATATAAACTATCAAAGTGTTGTGAAGGGAAAGAACAGAGGGGTCTGGCTCTAAGCTATTTAATGCAAGGCTGCAGGGCCCTAGACAAGATCTTGTTTTTACATGGTAGGCCTTAGGTTTTCCTGTACATAAAATGACAGGGCTGCATATAAGACTCTAGGACAGCGGTTCTCTACCTGTGGGTTGCGACTCCTTTGGGGGTAGCATATCAGATATCCTTCATATCATATTTACATTACTACTCATAACTAGCAAAATTACAGTCATGAAGTAGCAACAAAAATTTTTATGTCACAGCATTAGGAAGGCTGAGAATCACTGACCTAGGGGGTCTCCTCTGGACGATGGCAAGCTCTCCTACCCAGCACTTACATTTTGGCTTCCTACTGACTCTGGAAAGGTTGGAGAGTGCATGTCAAAGCCACTAGCTATTGTCATTTGCCCTTTTTTCTTAGAAAACAAGGACAGTTAGGACCAATTGCCAGGTGAGTGCTGACAAAAATTTGGGATTAACTACAAAGTCCTAAATCTGAAATCCACAGGGCTCTGAAAAATCACATTTTTTTCAGTTGCCAAACTGATTTGGCAACACAATCTATGGGTGCATTTTAAAGTGGACCTAACTGTTTTGACTATGGGCTTTTTTTTTTTTCAAATATGCTCCCAGTGTTTTGAAAAACACCTTCTTCCTCTCTGAAATGCTGGCTGGAGGGTTTTTGGTAAGATTAGAAACCTGTCTTTTTCCAGTGACTTCACAGCCTTGTGACATCAGTCCCAGTACAAACCATCCTTATTTTACCTGGAGCCAGCCTAGGGATTCTGTTTTTCACAAAGTGACCAAAGTGTCCAGATCAACCGATACCTTGAAACATGGCTGAATTTGGATGGAAAAAAGAATGTTATAAAAACTGCTGTCTTTAGGATAGGATCTAAATAAAATGTGACTATTCTCTGGTATGAACAGAAATAAAATATGAGGTATGGTTGAAGACAAGGGAATGCAAGGCCAGGCTTTGAGTTGTTTTTCTCTGAGGATTATTTGAAATAATGTTTTTGTTTTCCCTGTCCGCTCCATGATCTACTGACTGAGCACATCAGCATAGGGACCAGCTGACACTGGCTCAGAAACGCTTCCCCAGGTTCTAGCTACAGATGAGTCACTTCTCAATGAAAAAAAAATGGGTCTCAGAAGGAAATGGACATTGCCACTGTATTCAAGCCACAGGTGGATGCAGACCCTGTGAGAAGCCCTTGTGACTTGGACTATGGTGACATTCACTTCATCTGTCCAATGTTTCTCCTCACCACACCTCATAGGAGCACACAACCAACAGGGTGGCATGATCTTAACTGGGAGCCGTTTTTAGAAAGGTTTCAACACAGCTTTTCACTCACAGGCAATTTGGACAGAATGGAGCTGTTTGATTATGCCTGACATTTTCACAATTTGTAGAAACTTTGCAGACACAGCCCCAACACATTTGCACCGTCTTCTAAAATGCTTACAGTCATTTTTAACCCTGGAAGTAAATGTAGGCAATGGAATGGATATCGCTCACCATAAACATCAAACTCACCATTCAAGAGCTACTCCAGTAGGTCCCCACCAACTACAATGTGTGTGTTTAGAGGGGAATAGTGAGTTACTAAATTTAAAAGGATGCACTCAGCTGGTGCTCATGTTCATCTGATCAAGACCCAGCTGGACCCAAGGGCAAGACAAAGATACTGTCAAGTCTCTGAAATAAGCCCAGTTCCTGTTTCCTGCAATCTGAAGCTGTTCAAGTCAGGGCCCAGAATCCTCTTCTTCCAAAGCCAAGCATACAATCATTGTGGAACTTCAAAGTCTATCTGCTTAAAAACAAAAACAAAAACAAAACAAAAACAAAAACCAAAAATCCCTTATCGGGGAATTAGCGCTGAACTCTACTGCAAACTACCTTTCAATGTCCAGAACATTTTGAGTCAGTTCAGCCAATCAAATGTTAGCAATGAGGAGGAAAAGGCTATATTTAACCACTAGGCAAAACCTCCATTAGGCTATACTTCTTAGGCTTTGCCACCGAGCAGTCCTCTATATGCACTACTCACCAGACAGCACGACATTATATACAACTGATCAATACAGCCTGCTCTGTAGTGGGTATTAGAAGTGAATGGTTCCAAGTGGTGGTGGTCCACACCTTTAATCCCAGCACTTGAGAGGCAGAGGCAGGTGGATCTCTAAGTTCAAGGCCAGCCTGGTCTACACAATGAGTTCCAGGACAGCAGGGGTTACACAGAGAAATCCTGTCTCAAAACAAACAAAAAACCACAAAAGCAAATAAAAAAGGTAGGGCAACCACATATTTATTTCATATTGGTCACTTACACATCTCAAATTGAAAATACATTTTAGGCAGAGTGTTGTAGTTTAATCTTTTTGTACACTGTGAAGCTATGTCTCTGCTAAGGCACCTTCTGGTTAGTTTAAATAAAGTGCTGAATGGTCAATGGTTAGGCAGAAGATAGGGGTACCTCCAGCAGGACTTCTGGGAAGGAATCAAGAGAGGTGGGATTTCCCAGCAATACCTCTAATAAGTCAGACGTACAGTATGGAGAGAGGTAATGAGCCATGTGGCAGAACATAGATTAATATAAATGGGTTAATTTAAGTCTTAAGTGCTAGTTGGGAACAAGTGTAAGCTAAGGCCAACCTTTCATAATTAATAAAATGTCTCCATGTCATTATTCAGGAGCTGGTGGTCCAAACAAAGTTCAGTTATACTAGAGTTCTATGGCAAAGCGGTGGATACATTCATTTTCCCATCACCCGTGCTGTTCCTACAGAGTACTTATTTTGACCCTGACACTTGTCTACTTGAAGACATACTGAATTTCTGAAGCCAGCAGCTCAGTATCTGGTACAAGAGACTCAAACATTTGCTGAATTAGAAGATATATGGAAATATAAAAATTAGCCAGTTCTTAAAATTTTGTGTATGGGTGTTTCACCTGCATATATATATATATATCTATGTACCTTATACCTACAGTGCTCAAGGAAGCCAGAAGAGACTGCTGGATCCCTTGGTCCTACAGGTGGTTTTGAGCCACATGGGAGCTGAGAATCACACTTGTGGTCCTCTGGAAAACCAGGCAGTGCTCATAATGGCTGAGCCATCTTGCCAGTGTCAACTACTGACAATAAAATATAAGGAAATCTTCACCATCAGTTTAGATGGAGGACAACTGGAATGTGGTTAGTTCTAGCTTACACAGCTTTAGTGACTGCACTAGGTAGTATGTACAATGTGTATATATGTAGAGAATTTAATAGTGTCTCATTTAGCCCAGGTTCACCTAAAACTTGATCCAACCCCTTGGCTTCTACCTCCCAGGAGCTAGAACTACAGGTTCAAATTATTTACTCAACACAAAAATTAAATACACCCTTTTATACATCCTACAGTGGCAGTGGGATAGGAAGAAGTCAATTCAGATAATAAAATACATGAAGGTAACAGGTTAACTTGAGTGGATGAACCTATTTAAGATGGGTTTTGAAGAACACTGGATTTTTATGGTAAATTTTCCCAAGTAACTAGAATTATAAGAAATTTAAAAAGTCATTTTCAGTTAAAATAAAATCAAGGTCAAATCCGAAGAGTGGCTCTTTCCATGTGTTGTGGATTTTGACAATGTCATTTCGATGACTATGGATGACACTAGGAAACTGTGTCTGGTTGATACTGATAACTGTCAGTTATACACATGGGTATGCTGGTCAGTACACCAACACTTAGGTATTACAAGTGTCACTCTGGATTACCTGTCCATAGAAAAGTTAAGTATTGTGACAAAACACATTTTATTTTGCAAATTATATGGTATGAACTTCATTGAAGAAGAGGTGAACTTATTATTTTTAATTATACAGTTCAGAGAAAAGGGTAATGGAGGTTTGGGGGGTAAAGTCTCTGGGGAGAATAAAGGACAAAAATATACCCTTTCCAGATATAGTAGTACACATTTTATACTCCATTGCTTGAGACAGGAGATTAAAGCCAGTTTGGACTACATGTCTAAGTAGGCTGGGCCCATAGCCTTGATCCCCGTGCTTGGGAGGCAGAGGCAGGCAGATCTCCAAATTCCAGGCCAGCTTGATCTACAAATTGAGTTCCAGGACAGCCAGGGCTGTTAACACAGAGAAACCTTGTCTCAAAGGGAGACAGAAAATAATAATCTAATCTCAGGTAACTAAAACTGTTCAGTGTACTGTGCATGGGTGTGGAGGCACCAGGAATGGTACCCATCTGTACTGTGTTCCCTACACCACAGAGATTGAAAACTGAAATTAAAACACAGTGAAACTGAACAAAAAGGTACAGCACAACACACAGTGTGCTTACAAAAATATTTTAATGAGCATATCAGAATGGCAGAAGGAAATGGGAAAAATGACATTTTACAGTGCAAAATTATTATGCAGGAATTTAAAAACATCTAATTCATAATTTGAATGCCTACTTAAATATTACTTCAAATACATTTTAAAGCTCAACAGATTTTGTTGAACTGAGTTACAGCTTCTGAACCTTATTGAGAATACATCATAAAACATTATATATTCCAAATGAAAACAACAGTGCTTTGCTAGGATCTAAATAACTACCAACAGAAACTTTTCTTTTTGAGACAGTGTCTCAAGTATCTCAGGCTGGCCTCAACCTCACTACGTAGTTGAGGATGGCCTTGAACTTCTGATTCTCCTGCCTCCAGCTCCCAAGTGCTGGGATTGCAAGTGCACACCACCACACCCAGTTTATGCGGTACTGGGGATGGAACCCAGAGCTTCATGCATGCTGGTGCAAGCATTCAACCAAAGGAGCTATACCCCCCTGCCCATCATGAAGGCTTCTTTTCTCATCTCAACTTATTAAGAGCTCAAATTATAAAATGTACTAAATCTTAAGCAAATTAGATTCATGATATTGTCAAGATGTTTAAATAGTGCAATGACTTCTCAAGTGACAGTGGTTACATTGAAGAACAAAGGGTGAAATCCCTGTAGAAATACAGAACACAATTAAGATTTTGGGAAAAGCTGAGCATCACTTATTAGTGGAATGTCTTTCTTTATGCATACTTTAAAAAGAAAAATAAGATTTATTAACATTTATACATCTGGCACATTTGCCATCATGCCTGAGAATTTTCTTAAAATGTTGCTGTTATGGGTCTCAAGAACTCCACAAACTTGCCACCAGATGGATCTTTAAAAAGGCGGACATGATACTGAGAATACTGCAATGACTGAGAAACACATCACTGTTCTTTAATACATTCCTAGAGACCACCTGTGACAGAGAGCTAGGATGACCTGTACTCACTTAATAAAATATGCTTCAGAAAATAGATTACAGCTGGGTGTGGTGGGCAACACCTCCAATCTCAGTATCAGGGGGCCGAGGTAGGAGGATTGCAAGTTCCAGGCCAGCCTGGGTTACACAGTGAGACTCTGTCTTAAAAAAAAAAAAAAAGACAGAGACAAACACACACACAAGGAGGATGGGGGAGTGAGCAGGGAGACAGGGGCCATGGCCATCTGCTAAAGCTACTTGACTTACTGCCATTCTGGATAAATTATCTTTTCAGTAAAACAAACAAAAAGCCCCATCATGCTTCTCAGCACTTCCATCTGAAACTGATTTATTGGGATATTTATGCAAAAACAGTAAATGCATATTATACGGACGGATGTTGTCAAAGTCCAATACTGATTGGGGGCGGAGAAAAAGTTGTTCCCATTGGTCATGAGAAGCAGTCTGGACAAATGTAAGAACACTAGAGGGATGAGGCCTAGACGGTCATTCTCAGTGCAAACCTTTACCCATGCTGCATCAGACAACTGAGCCAGTAAAAGGACCACAGATCTGCCTCTAAAAGATTTGGCTCTTGCTTGAACTGATGGCTGAGAACGAATTGAAAGCAGCATTTGGGGATGTGTCTGTGTGAGAAAAGATAGCTAGTAATCCTTTACTAAAAAAAAGTTTGGAGATAGGATTGGCCTATCAGCTGTATAAAACTACACTTTATAAGAAGAATTTTACACTAAAAATAAAATCCTTACAAGGCTAGTGCATACAGATAATCCTTTTTTAAAAATCACACAGAACAATGATTATTTTGTATCTGTTTCATTTTGGAAAAACAGTATTAAATCTGTCAAACTGGATTGTAACTGGAAAGGTCTGAAAATTCTTAAAACCATTATTTTCTCATAAAAAAATCAATATTGCTACCTGTCAACAGTTATTCTTCAATGTGACAATATTAACATCACCTGGCCTTTTCTTCCTGTTGACATAATGAAAACAATGGGAAATCTTATAGTGCATACAAGAGTAACTGAACAGGATTCTATTCAGCACGATACATTTACGAACTGAAGCTGACAGTATGTCTTTGTTTTGCTTCAAAAATAATTTTGAATATTATAGCAAATGCAAACAAGCTTGCAAATCTGAGTATCATGCTGAACTCCAGAAGTCCCAAATTATTTGTCCATAAGTAGAAGCTTGAAATAAAAACATATGTTCATAATTCTTTATGAATGCTTTTACCACCTGGATAAGAAACATGACTTGGTTAACTACACACACTTAAAAATTCATTAGAAAAATTTTAGCAAAATAAAATGAAAGCTGACAGACTCAATATCAGTTCCTCTCATAAAAGTTTACCAACTGTACAAGTTAAGAAAATTATACAAGCTTTTTGTATTAAGAAAGGACAGCTCAGTCAAGACATATGTACTGTAAAAATCTTTCAAAGGCTACAAAGAATCTGGAAAAATACAGAATGTATTTCTTATGCCCAGATAAGAATATGGAAAGACATCATTGATGTCAACAATTTTACAAATACAAACCTGACTTGGTTTATTTTTAAACTTCTACATATAAAAATCATGCTAGCATAACCTTCAGGATTCATGAGGGTTTCCTTAGTGACAATGTTCAATTTGTATGGAGAGAAAAATGTCTGGTGTAAAAACATTTCTAGATAATTCAAAAATTGGTGTTGAGCATAAACACAAGCTTATTTTCCCCCTTGCTATTCTTCCTCATAAAAATAAGGAAAAATTAACTTTTAGTAAAATTTACGATTAGTATCTCAAATGAGAAGGTACAGATAAGTCTTTGGGTCATTCAAATTTACCAATGTTTTTATCCTACAAGAGTCTTCAACGATTTGAAGTAAAAGAACTTGCAAAAGGTGGAATTATGAATCCCATTTCTTAAAGTTAGGACTCAATTTAAATGTTGAGATTTAACCAACTGCTTCAAAGAAATCAGCTTTCTAAAGGTCACCCACCAACCCTGAAAATTGTAGTCACACCAGAATTTACTGCAAAGAAAGTAACATAGGCCTAGGACTTAGTCGTTTGTGTTTTCGTGTTCCTCAAATTTCCCATGCGAGACTGCTTCCTGGAAAAATTCAGACGAACCCGGACTTTCTTTCCCATTGCTGTTTATCCGTCGCCTTTTGGCAGGTCTCTCATTTTTTTCATCAAAATCATTTTCATTTCTTGCAGTCATATGGGCAAGTTTTGGGTCGGTGGTCAGGTTATCTGCTTCATAACCATTAGTATCCATATCTGTATGAAGTGGCTTCTTATTTCCGCCTGTTGGTCCATTAACATGTAAGCCTTCCACTTTTACTTCTTCTTTGTTTAGTATTTCACCTGGTCCATTAGATGACACACCTACATCCAGAGAAAGATAAAACTTAATACAAAAAGCTTAACTCATCAACTATTGTAAAACAGCTGCTATAACAGGTTTTCATCAAGGGACAAGCAAAGTATCAAATGTGAACATACTCATGGTGTGAAGCATGGCTGTGCCACTTACCAGCTGATACTACCCAAATCTTCATATGCTACACCTCAGTTTCCTTACATACCATGAGACACAAAGCAACGTATGTTACACAGTTGATGTAAAGACCAACTAAGGCAATGGATTTTAAGAACAAAATCCATATATTAAAAGCATGCTAAGGGGCTGGAAAGATGGATCAGTGGTTAAGAATGCTTGGTGCTCTTAGAGGAGAACCTGGGTTCAGTTCCCAAAATCCACATGGAGGCTCACAGACACCTACAACCCTAGTCTCAGGGTATCTAACACCCTCTCCCAGCCTCCTCAGGTCTCACACACATGGTACACACACATACATGCATATAAACACATTAAATGTAAGAAAATATTCAAAGAAGAATCCCAAGTATTACTATGTAGCAACACTGACTGACATTGTCCCCACAGGAGGTAGGATCTGAAAAATGGAGAATTTGAGGACCACTGCACTGCATATAGCAAGACCCTATCTATCTATCCACAACAGGCAGGAATTATTCTAGTTAAAGCAAGTAGCGGAAAGACCATGTTAGAGCCGATTATAAAATGGAACACAATTTTGATAATACAAAGTCCACTCAGCACACATCACTGGAAATAAGTTTTTCTTTTTAAGATTTTATCTATCTATCTATCTATCTATCTATCTATCTATCTATCTATCTATCTATCTATCTATCTATCTATCCATCCATCCATCCATCCATCCATCCATCCATCCATCCATCCATCCACCCACCCACCCACCCACCCACCCACCCACCCACCCACCCACCCACCCACCCACCCTACCTACCTACCATGTGTACAGTGTTCTGCCTACGTGTTTGCCTGTAGGACAGAAGAGGGCACCAGATCTCATCATAGATGGTTGTGAGCCACCATGTGGTTGCTGGGAATTGAACTCAGGACCTTTGGAAGAGCAGTCAATGCTCTTAGCCTCTGAGCCATTTCTCCAGCCTGAGATAATTAAATCTTAACCATGTAAAAAATATTCAACATAAAGGATGGGTCTCAAAGATTACATTTTGGTCAAATACTCAATTTTTTCCAGTTCAGTATGTATCCAAATCTTTAATACATCATATAACACTAAAGAAATAATTCTGTGCTAGCTAGTCTAAATAGCTAGGTTAAACTGATCAAGTAAAAAATAGCTGTAATAATATTCTGGACATGAATTACAGTCCTTTATATAAAAGAAATAAAGCTAAAAATTAAATATATATATAATTAAGCTAAAGTTCTAACCTTTCTTTGGAAAACCTGAAAATCTTGATCACACTTACCTGATGTCTTCTGAGCTAAGTAACATTCTTTATTCATTTGTGAAAATTATCTTGCCCTAATAGTGCTTTCTCATCACAAAGCTAAAACAAAGGGTTCCCTTGGTGTTAAGATGGTAACAGACAAAAGGACTGACACTCGTGAGCACCTACCTCAGTTCCATGCTGCAGTCACACTGCTCCTTCCATCTCTATAAAAGGGGCAGCAGACTGCAGAACACCAGTCTAACAAGCAGTCTTAGACCCATGCATGGGTGCTCAGACCACAGCCTGCCTGTCTGGCTTGTTCTTCAAAGAAGTACAGAAAAGGACTGTGAAATGAACTAAGTAATATATATGCAACTTAGTGAAAGCTTGAGGTCAAAGCTTTGGCAGTTTCTCTTCTACATTCTCCATGGCTCTCCCCAGTTTTAAAGTCCAGTTTCTTCCTTACAGGGACGCTGCATAATAATGCTTGCTATTTTCTCACTTGGGACAATTAAAGTAAAAACCAAAACAGCTCTTACAGATGGTCCTTCACATACTCTGAAAGAACAACACTGTCTGCTTTCTCCTGTATACCTGCACACTTGTGTGTGTGTGTGTGTGTGTGTGTGTGTGTGTGTGTGTGTGTGTGTGTACAAATGGTTCTGTAGAACACCCATGCTCAGGCTGAGAGCTGCTTCACATGTGCTCATTTTTCAAGGCTATTATACTAAGTCAAATATTTAAACTTCACTTATTACCTACTTTTTGTCTTTATTATAGCTCATGTTACAGGTTCTCAAAAAAATTTGAAAAATAAATATTTCTTATGCAAAGCATCTGGATTTGTCTAAAAGACAAAGCAGTATTCACATCCAGGCAGTATCCCATTCAGGTAGGGAGATGCTACTGAATACAAATTTATTGAAAGCAACAGCCCCTGTGTAGCTTGCATTATGAATTTCAGTTTATGAGGTCACTACGAATTCTTTCCAACTACTCCATGGTGTGTGTTTGGATGTCTGTGTGCTAATGTTTCATGTTATTTACATTTTCAGCCTCCAGAGTTTAAAGCAAATTCCCTTGAGCCACTCCAAGTGTCCTTCACTACGAAGAACTAGGTGTATTTCCTGGTTGCTTACCATTTTGATTACTATTGCTGACAGTGCCATCTTCTTTCTCGGACTGGCTGTTACTACTATTTGAGGCAGTAGGGGGAGGGGATGGTGCTCGGCTAGAAGCAGCACTTTCACTCTCATCCAAAAGACGATCCATGTAATCCCTTAAGATTAAATTAAATAACACAACAATTAATTCCTTAGATAATGAAGATTAAAATTAGTTGAAGTTAAATATACATTCCACTATTAACACATATGCCCTGACTGTCACTTACTTTCAAGACAATGCCTTACTACTGTACCAGGTTCGGAAACACTAACTTTGGAAGCTTCTGGCTATGTATTTGTAGGGAGATGCATGAAGATGCTAAGCTAAGGAAAATGTAAAGTTCACGGCAAATTTAAAGACTAAAATGTACAGAGAATGGCTTAAAATGGCTCAACTGAAGCTGGAGTGCGTATAAAGAGGTGAGCATGATGTCATCTGGGATACAGAGTGATTTGTGAACAGACTGGTTGTCAGATTTCCTAAAGGCAATACCTGAAGGTACAACGGAGACCTAACACAAAGGGTGTTCCCTGCTAGCCACCATACAGTTCAGCATTCTGCCAGATCTGTACCATAATGGGTTGAGTCCTAGGAATATTTGCTAGTCACCTGTTAGCATCTTGCTATAGACAGGTATATTTGTAACATCATTACTATTTCCTGAACTATAGTTGAGGATCATTGACACTGGGCTGAGGTTAGAAGATCTAGGCTAAATGTGTGTCTGAGGGTAGTTATTTTACAATTGAAATGCAGATAAATCCTGTGTGTCCTATCTATACACATGGTTATCATCTGTGGGTTGCCTAAAGTTTCTGTCAAGTACAACTGGAACATGGTCATACACCATGGGTTGAGACCCCTGGGGGTGTTGAACAACCCTTTCATCACAGGGGTTGTTTAAGACCCCTGGAAAAGACAGATATTTAACAGCAGCAAAATCACAGTTTTAAGGTAGCAACAAAATAATTTTATGGTTGCGGCCACCACAACATGAGTAACTGTGTTAAAAGGTCACAGCATTAGGAAGGTTGAGAAACAATGCTTTAAGGCATCACCTATGTTTTATACAACTTAAAATAGAAACAGCAGAAAATGCAAGCAAGTCAGAAATAGTTCTCACAGAAAATCAATTTCTCACTACATGAATAGTAATGTATAGTATGGTCATTACTTTTCATTTTTTTGTAAGATATTATCGTACTATGTAGCCTTTACTGGCCTGAAACTGTACAGTCCAGACTACATTCAAACTCATAGAAATCCTCACATCTCAGACATTACAGGTATGAGATATCACAATCACACACAACTGGTCATTGATTTTTATAAAAGGTAAAATACACCTATGAAGAAAATGCTATAGATCTTAAAAAAAAAAACAGAATGGAAGACAGGGCAGACAGGCAGGCAAAGTTCAAAGAAGCACAAAGGAATAAAAAATAAAAGTAAATTCCACAAAACGATGGCAATGGTACCCAGGGGAAAACCAAACATATTTAGGATTTCATTCCATTATGACACGAAACTGGTATTAAATCATACCTTAGGAAAAACAAAGTGTGGGTCACTAACTATGATTTATCTACCTACAGAAAACCTTAGGAGAAATTAAGATGATAAACATCTTCAACAAGTTTTCAGAAACTGTAAGAGACTATCATAGAACCTAAAATGACTAGTGGTCCATCCCTTTCTACCTTACTGCAATGGACATCAGAGTCAACTAAGCAAAGCCTTCATTATATTCGTCTGCTAAGGCTTTCGGGAGTCTGAGCTAGCACAGCACATGTTGTGTGTTCTTATGCTGATGATGACATCCTCATCATGGCTACATTGTTTCTGAAATGGGGAGGGGAGTGGGAGGAGAAACACATCTAGTCCTACATTTTTGTCCTTGAATAGTACCACTAAATAATCCAGAATAATAAATTTAGTAAGTGGTTAAATTTATGAATTAAATTATTAATCATTTTTAATTACTTATCAAGCAATGATAAAGTTTGTAATCCTTCTTTATATGGCTACCAACTCTGAGTAAATAGGGAACAGGAGAGGAAAGGAGTTTACTGTCTTCTGACGAAGGTGGATCATCCTCATTTACTCCCTTGTGGGGACTGGTGTCAGAGATGAAGCCAAAGCCTTCAGCAGACTCAGCAAGCACTCTAACACTGAGCTCTAAGCCCAGCCCTCATTTATACTTTTTTAGTTTATTTTGCTTTGGGCTTTAGAATGTCTGGTCAGAGGAAGTACTCAGTGCAGACATCTATACCTATAAATGAACATAACGAAGAAACACTATGGTTTATGAGTTTAAAAAATACAACCAAACATAGGTAACAATCACATCTTTGTAAAGGGGTTTGAGGACATCTTTACTAGTGCACACTGGCCTCATCAACTCAGAGCTTGAAGGAAGCTAAGAATTTCTTGTGCCAGGACTGCATTTAGGCAGTTAAGACACATCACGCATACTGTGATGAGAGCTACCATCACTGTCTCAGTCAGAATGTTAAGAGTTGCATTACTATCATTACACATTACTTCTATAACAATGTCCTGGAAGACCCCAGGACAGCTAGGAAATATGTCTATCAAACAAGAGGATACAATTTAACCTGACCATCATATTCCTGCACCCTTTCCCCTCTTTTAAGAACACCTACATTCAAATCTTGTTTTAGTTCCAAAGATCAAAATATACTACACAAGGGAAAATTTCATATTTCCCTTCCTTTTTAATGGCCCTCTACTTGTTGTGTAGCCCAAAAGAGTTTAGAATTTGTCTTAATCCCATTTTTTTAAACTGTTTTCAAAGGTGAAAACTAAGCCAGATGTGGTGGTGGTACATACATACAATCCCAGCACTAGGAAGGTGGATAAAATTGCTAAGAATGAGGCCAGCCAGGACTACATGGCAAGATTTTGCCTCAAAAAATAAAAAAATTAAAATTGAACGCAGTATTTGCACAGTCTTTTTTTCATTTTAGGAAAACCTAATAAAAATAAATGCTTTAAACCTTGGTTTAATGCTTGCTGTCTTAACATGTACAGTAGCTTACTACTTTTAAGACAACAAAGTCTCCATGCCTTATATGTCAACAAACTGTAAGTTTTGAAACTAACTGTATTTTGAAGGACTACAAAATTCATAATTCTTTTAAGACAAGAAAGCTTAGAAAACAACTCACGTTACACCAGGATGAAGATTATATTTCTTTTTTCCAAACCTTGTTTGCTGAGCAAAGAAATCATAACGCTCAGACTTTTTCCACATGTAATAGAATGCTACACATTCACCAACTGATCTTGTTCGGACCTGTAAGAAACAAACGCTTGTTTTAAAGAATATTCTCCTTAACAGAGCCACTTGAAGAAAAACCTCTTAAGTGTGTGCTGGATGGTTTTACATAGCTTGACACAAGCTACAGTCACTTGGAAGAGGGACTCAACTAACAAAATGCCTCCATAAGACTGGCCTACTAGCAAGTCTATGAATCATTTCTTGATTGGTACAGTTATTGCCAACCCTGGGCAGGCAGTTCCAAGCTATATAAGGAAGCAAACTGGGCAAGTCACTAGGAACAGGACAGCAGCAATGTTCCTGCTGCAGTTCCTGCCTCTAATTCCTGCCTTGATTTCCTTCAATGACAAGGAGGTTCTGTGATGTGAAAGTGTAAGCCAAATAAACCATGGCGTTTTACCACAGCAATAGAAACTTTAAGACAGACTGGGGAAAAAAAGCTACTCCTTAGTTAATATACAAACAAACATATTGTACATGGAATACTAAACTACAGCAACTGTGCTGAAAACTATTTTTTCCAAATCATTGAGAAAAATAATACATCAATAACTATGTAAGATACTTAGCATTGTTTTTTAATTCAAGGGTACAACCATTCTAGTATTTTACAATAGAACAAGTATTCCTCTACTGCAAATAGGAGTGACAATTGGGTTAAAATGAATCCAAAGAAGAAATGCTTTTTACTCACAGACCATCTAGGGAATCTAAATTTAAATTCTCTTATAAAATGATTTCCCACAATGAAGCATGAACTCAGATCTGAATCTTAAACTTTGAAAAAAATTAATTCAAAAATGAATCGAAGACCTTAATATAAGGTCTGATCCTCTGAAACTGCCAGAAGTTAAAAAAACAAAACAAAACAAAACAAAAAAACCCTTTGCCCTGCAAATGAAACTATCAGCAGAGTAAAGAATTCACCTACAGGATGGGAGAAAACTTTTGCCCTCTATTTATGTGAAGTGGACTAATTACTTAGAAAATATAATGAATTCTAAAATGGCCAATAAGCACCAAGAATCCAGGATCTTTAGCCTTCAAGGAAATATGCACTAAAACTTCTTTTAAATTCTATTATACTCAGGTCAGAATGGCTTATCACAAAAAATAAGCGACAAAACCAAATGACAACAAAGGCTGGCTGGATATGGGGAAACAAATGCCCCAGGATGGAAAAAAGAGGATACTCACACACTTCTTGATGGGAATGTACACTGGTAAAAAGTATGGAAATCAGTATGGAGGTTCCACATAAAACCAAACTGAGTTACAATATGACCCACTTTTGTCTTCCCTAGGTATATGTCCAAGGATTCTGCACATCACAGATATAACTTGCATAGTCATGTTTATTGCTATATTACACACAACAGCCAATAATAGAACCAGCCTAGATGTCCACCACCATATGAATAAGTATAAAAATATGTAGAAACAAAATACAATTTTATTTAGCTGTAGAGAATAAATGAAATTATGATGCTGTCAAGAAAATGGATAAGCTGATCTTATGTTACACAAAATAAGCCAGACTAAGAAGGAAAAAGGTATTTTCTCTTACATAAAAATATAGATATAAATTTATGTGTACACACACATGTGTACAGGATATGAAAGAAAGGAGGAAGAGGTTAAGGGGCCAGGAAGGTAATAGAATATATATGCCATGACAGCAGAGCAGGGAGGATGAGGAGAATAAGCAAATAGACTTGGAGATGTCAAGGAAAAGAAACAAAGTATAATATATATGTATAAAATGTCACAAAAAATGAAACTCGAAAGTTAAAAAGAAAATAAACAAAAAACAACTCCAGATGAAGTACTGAGAGATGTTTGTAATCCCAGCACTTGGGAGGAAGCATAAGTAGTTCAAGGTCATTCCTATCTATGCTTATTCTTGATACAAAACCAAGGTTCGGTTAAATAAGACTCATCTTAAGAAACAAACCAAAACAAAATCAGAAACTAAAACACAATAAGTAAATAAATAAACCAAAATTAAAAAGGCCTCCAAAAATTAACTATGAAAATCACCACTCATTTTCTTCCCCAAATGTCTATAACTATGCCAGGGAAGGAGAAGCTCTTAAACTAGTACTTATTCCTTGTTCATTAAGATACCACTGTGGCTTATGGGTCTGCAACTAATTATGCAAATGATTGGCTTCCCATTATCCACAAAAAATGCTGAAGATCTCCTTCACTGCTACTGCTTTGGAGAGCTGGAGAAATTGATGAGTAAGAATAAAACACTGCACGCTTCCAAGAGAAAAGGCACATGCAATAGTGCTCTAGAAACAGGATGCTAACAAAATATTTTTGGCATTGATTTCATCTACTATAGAGGACATCCTTTCTTACCTAACAAAGATTTTTCTTCCTTTTCTTCCCCTCTGCTTGAATTTTATAAAAGATGTAAAGCAATAAGGGCTTTTAAAAAGTCCTTTCAAGGGGCTAGAGAAAGGGCATTTAGTGGTTTAGAATGCCCAAAGGCCCCAGGTTCAATTCCCAGCATCCACATGATGGCTTACAATCATCTAGTTTAAGGGGACCTGATGCCCTCTTCTAGCCTCCTAAGGCAACAGGCACACATAGCAACACCAAGCATTAAAAAAAAAAAAATCCTTTCAAGCTCCTTTTTGTTTTGCTTCCTAAAGAATGATTTCAAGCAAGCAGTTGTAATTTACTAAAAGCAAAAACCAAGGACTCTTGGGGCAAGTTGTTAACTACAATCCAAAATCTTCATGAAATAAGCCCATAACAGAGCTTCGATATTTTCAGATTGGATCTTAAAAATCACTATCCTCCCTTTGTTCACTAGAGCAACTAAGTAGAGCACAGGCTAGACAACTATTACAGCATTAAAAGATCCCACTTAAACAATTATAATAAAGAAACGTATATATGTACGTACGTATGTATGTTTTTCGAGACAGGGCTTTTTTGTGTAACAGCTTTGACTGTCCTGGAACTCAACTTTACAAAGCTGACCTAGAAATCAGAGAGGCCTCCCAAGTGCTGGACTTTAAGATTTAAGGCAAGCACCACCACAGCTCAGCCAAAGTTATATTCTTAATAAAGCACATGTTGAAACTTTGGCTCATGGTTTCAAGTCAGCTAATGAGGTTTTTAAAGTCATACAGGTGGGGTTTTGCTCAGTAATACTCCAGAGATACCTTTGAGAGGTAATCCAATAGTTTGGTTAGCAAGATTTCCATGTAAGGAATACTAGAAAAAATAAAATGTACTTTTCAACCTGCAAAATGTATTTTAAAACAAATTCAGGAACACATACAGTCATCAGCATAAGACAACCTTTCCCCAGAGTGCTGATTATCAAATTTGGACACAGTGGGCACCTCACTTTGAACACCAATTGCATTTTTCAAATAAACATTCAAAGGTCCAAGTTTCTCTTCTATTATCAATGTTTTTCTTTTGTAAAAGATGTAATTATCTTTAACTATGTGTGCTGTGTTTAGATTGTGTGTGTGTGTGTGTGTACATGTGTGCATGTGCGCGTGTGTACAAGAGAATGAAGGTGCCAGTGGAGGCTGAAGGTGTCAGATCCTCTCGCTAGAGTTACAGGAAGTTGTAAGCCACCCAACATGGATGCTGGATACCAAATCTGGGTCCTCTGCAAAAGCAGCATTTGTTCTTAACTGGCGGGCAATTCATTAATAATGCCTGATGTCAGTCATAAAAATGCAGTAAGATTTAGAAGTAGTAAATGCAGAACAAAATTAGTATGAATTCACAGGATCTGTAGCTTTCATTAATAGTGTGACAAAACAAAGCAACTGTATTCCAGCAACAGCTAGGAAAAAAAAAAAAAACACCAAAAAGCAAAGCACATAAATGAATTAGAGCTTCAAATATATGCCCAATACCTAAACATAGCCCTATACAAGGTCCTAGATTAAAAACAGCTCTCTTCAAGGGACTATGTAAGCCCAGCTTATCACATTCATGAAAAGTAATGTTCATGAGTTTTAGTATTTGTGCTGAGACTTATCATAATCTCCCCACAAAAGCACCTTATTTTCTTTCCTATTATATAAAATGATGGAGTTAATATTTAAAATCCTATGAGAATTTTATTGAAAAGAAAAAAACCCACTGGGTGTGGTGGTACACACCTTAATTCTAGCACTTGGGAAGCAGAGAAGGTGGATCTGGGAGTTAGAAGTCAGCCTGGTCTACATAGGAAGTTCCAAGATAATCAGAGCTGAGACTCTAAGTCACAACAAAAACAAAAACCCAAAGGCTGGCAAGATGTCTTGGCAGGTAAAGGTGCCTGCTGCTAACACTACCTACCCATTACCCAAAATTGTCCTGTGACTAGCACACACATGCACTATGGCACTTATATGGCCCCTTCCACTCGTGAATGAATAAAAATAAACCTTGAAAACAATTAAATGTTCAAATTTGCAAATTATTATTTAGTTCTTTAGGATATATAATGTATGACTGATATTTATTGGATATCAAACTACCATGTTAAGTCTCTAGTGATAGATACATCTGGAAAATATCATTGCAAGAATATGATTTAAGATCATTTAGGACTTAGGTACCATAAAACATATCTTAATCACTGGGCAGTGGTGGCACATGCCTCTAATCCAAGCACTGGGAAGGCAGAGATAGGTGAATCTCTGAGTTGGAAGCCAGCCTGGCCCACAGAGCAAGTTCCAGAAGAGACTCCAAAGCTACAGAGAAACTGACTCAGAAAAAAACAAAAAATTATTCAATTAATTAATTAAAAAAAAATCATGGGCAGTAAGATGGTTCAGTGGGTTAAGGCGCTTGCCACCAAGCCTGACAATCTGAATTCAATCCCAAAGTTACATGGGGGAGTGGTAGGGGTCCCAACTCCAGAAGGGGAACGAGAGGCCACCTCCAGAGTTGTCCTCTGACATGTATATACACACACACCGCACGGTTATTTTCACTGTAAATTTGATGTTAAGAATATTTTAAAATTTATTTAAAGAGGTATTTGCAATCGATAGCTGCAGGAAGAGAGAAAATTTGTTTTCTTCAATGGAGTGACAGGTTCTATTAACCACACTCAGAGGCAGGCCCCACAATTAGAAGCAGTCAGTTAAGACACACTCAAGAGTCCATGGGTGTTGTGCTTGTGTGTGAGAGTGAACCTGCGTGTGCACTTAAAAGAAGGAAAGAATATAAAATTGGTTGGATAGGAACTGGGAGGAGTTGAAGGAGAGTATAGAATATGATAAAAACATATCGAATGAACTTCTTAAAGAACAAATAAAAACATTTTTAAAACATAAATAAACCTCTTGTCACAGAAAATGGAAAGCAGCCTCAAGCAATTGTATTACGCAAACAATCTGGGAAGTTGACTGGCAGACATATAAATGAATTCAATTCTTAAATGTTTACAGTATGATGAAAAAAGTTACCTGGCAAACAAATCAGGCAGTCTAAGTATGCTTATTCTAATGAGTGTAAATCAAAGATTGTAGTATTAAACAAACTTTAAATCATGACTTACTTTATTAGCCTGGATCAGATGAAAATCTTTTCCATAGGCCTTTAGCCCTTGTTCAAAATTCCTACACTCTTCCTCTGTCCACACAGATAATTCCTCTGACAAAATGAAGGGATAAAACTATTAATATACTATAAAGAAACAAAGCAAAATTGTAACTTTCTGGCAAAAAAAAAAATTAAGGGAGTATCTTACTTTGGTAGGGGTGGGGGTTCGAGACAGGGTTTCTCTATGTAACAGTCCTGGTTGTCCTGGAACTCGCTCTGTAGACCAGGCTGGCCTCAGTGATCCGCCTGTCTCTGCTGCCCAAGTGCTGGGTTTAAAGGCATGCACCACCACTGCCCAGCATATCTTATTCTAAAGTGCTAATAATATTGGTCATTGCAAAAGATAGTGATAAAATTTCCTGATTTAATAAAATTGGAACGATTCGGTCCCTAACCCTCCAATCTCAGATTTGGGCTACTTGTTCCTTCTTTGTTGTGGAGAGAAGGTCTTGCCATACATAGCTCCGGCCAGGCATTCAACACCTCAGTTCTTCTCAGCCCAAAGGTCATTAGGCACCTTTCCATGTCTTCAACCTGGTTAAGTTCTTTCTTACTTTGGACTCCATTTGCCCTCTACTTCATCCTTGAAGTAACACAACCCTTTACTCATCAGTAAAACTATTGTATTCTCAAGTTTCCCCTCAAATCCTCACATTAACTAGATATGCTCAGCTATAACAGGCTTCAACAATATCCTCTAACTCTCCTTTAAAGATCAGCCTGCCTCCCAGGCTGCCAGGCACCTTGACGACTGAGACTCCTGGTTAGGTGCTTGGTGATGGGGACTGTCCTTCTGTACATGTGTCTCTTATTGGTTGATGAATAAAACACTGATTGGTCAGTAGAGACAGGAAGTACAGGCAAGGCTATGAGATGAGTGACAACCACTTTACCTACTGAGCTACCTTACCAGCACAGTCTCGCAATTGTAAAGTTAGGCAGCAGAAGTCCTTTTACCCAGCTCATAGGACTTTTACAAAGATCAAAGAAAAGAATCTTTAACTGTTTTGAAACTACAAGGCATTATATACTTTAGACTTTTACTTAAATGCCCTCATTTTACATAATAGAACAATCTTAATCCCACTCCCTGTAACAATTTGAGTGGCATTTGCACTCTCTGCACATACCTATTGAATTGAGAAAGACTGGAATTAAGCTGAAGATATATTTACCTTAAAGTGAACAGCTTAAAGTTAAAATTTCTGCCAAGTCATGAACAGAAGTCTAGCATGTACTTACCTCGAGCTGCTTTGACATTAAATCTCAATCTTCTCAAGGCTTCTTCTGTATCAAAACTGCATTTAACCAGTTCATACAAAGCCTAGGAAAAGAAAAGGTTTCTATGTAAGACTTATAGACTGCCAATATTCCAGCCCGATGCTCATTTTTAGGAGCACATTTTCTGAATCACGTGTTTATGTCTATATTTTCTGGTCCAATTTTAGGGTACAAGGATAAAAAGACAAATTCAATCTAACCTTCTATGCCTCTCCCTAAGTACAAGGTAGGATATGTAACCTGGTGACCATAGCATCCCAGCAACTGAGATATTCATTTCACAAAAATATTATTTGCTTAAGCTGTAATTCTTTGTAGCCTTCTGAGATTTGAAATGTACTTTAAACAAATTAGGAAAAAAAAACAATGACAAACAAGGTTCTAAAAATAATGTCGTATTGGGTTCATGTTAGACCTTAGTCTGACCATATACACAATGGTATTATCTGAGATGAGGAAGCCAATTTCATCACAGATGTGGAGTCTCATAGAGACAGATTAGAAAACAAACAAGGCTGGGCGTTGGTGGCACACACCTTTAATCCCAGCACTCGGGAGGCAGAGGGATGTGAGTTTGAGGCCAGCCTGGTCTACAGAGCGAGTTCCAGGACAGCCTCCAAAACAATACAGAGAAACCCTGTCTCAAAAAACAAAAACAAAAACAAAAAAACAAAAAAAAAAAAAGAAAAAACAAAAGGTTGGCAGTGGTAGCACACACCTTGGGAGACAGAGGCAGGTAGATCTCTGTGAGTTGAGGCCAGTCTGGTCTGCAGAGTTCCAGGACAGCCAGGGCTACACAGAGAAACCATGTCATAAAGAAAAAGAAAGGAAGGGAAAGAAAACAACAGGAAACACTTTTAAAAACACTATGAAAAGTATATATGAGCAAAGTCAAGATTTCTGTTTAGTAGAGTTGCAATTATATCAATGATGTTAAGCCTATCAACAGTAGGTCTTGTGATAATTCCAACCTTTACAGAAGTTCAGGTGGACAGAGCACCCACAGAAAAATGATTGTCACATATGAGGAAAACCCAAACAACTTGTTCCTTACTAATGTACCTGTTCATTGTCTTTAATGTGAGATCCTTCAGGAATTGCTTCTACACCTTTTTCATCACCTGTTCTTCTGGATGCATCCTTAAGAAATACAATCACTTTATCTTCTGGTAAATACTCTGGGTCCCACAGAAGCTGATCATCATTTTCATATACTAAATTCATAAACAAAATGTTAATAAAAACTACCAAAAATTGACATAACCTGTACAGACATATTACTAAACAAATAACTCAGTCTTTTAAAAAATTACATTTATTTTCTTTGTATTTGTTATGCATGTACCACACCACACATGTGGAGGTCAGAGGACCATTTGGAGGAGTCAGCTCTTATTTATTTATCTATCCATTCATTCATTCATTCATGACAGGGTTTCTCTGTATAGCCCTGGCTGCCCTAGAGCAACTTGCTGTAAACCACTCAAGAGATACATCTGCTTCGGCCTTCAAAGTTTTCAAAGTGCTGGGATTGAACGTATGCACCACCACCACCACCACCTATCGGGAGTCAGTTCTTAACATGTGAATCCCAAGGATCAAAGTTGGGTCATCAGGGTTGGATCTCTGTTCTCTTGTTGTCTTCCTGTTTGTTTGGTTTTTTGAGACAGAGTTTCTCTGTGTAGTTTTGGCTGTTCTGGAACTCGTTCTGGAGACCAAGCTGGCCTTGAACTCACAGAGATCCATCTGCTTCCCAAGTGCTGGGATTAAAGGCATGCATGCATCACCATTGCTCAGCAATCTTGTCTTCTTTTTTTTCCTTATGTGCCTGCACACGTTATAATAATTTTCATATCAAAGTCACAACCTTTAAAAAAATTTAAGTTTCATCATAATTTCCAATGTAATAATAGTCTAAACCTCACCAAAATTAAAAAAATAGAAAGGAATATGACCTAAGACAGTGCCCTATAAGAGTTCAATGAAAACACATAAAACCCAGAACCAACAGCCTAAAAATGAATTGGTGCCAGAAATGTGGTACCTCAAGAGTCATGGCAAAGTGTTGTAAGAATAATTTCCAAGTCTGGTTAAATCCCAGAGTGACTAGGGATTGTGAGGCCTGCAGGGTCTGGTCTACTAACAAGGACATGAGGATATAAAGACTGAATCATTAGAAGGGCTAGGAAGGTAAGTAGAAGGTGAAATAAAGTAAAATCTTTTGAAAAGTACGGATGGGAAGGTAGAGGTACCGCAGGAGGCAGTGAGGAAATCCAGTTGAACAAAGTTTGGAAGGCCTTTGTTTTTAAAGACAAGAGACAAATATTTAAATTTCAATAGAAAGGAAACCATTTGATAAAGAACTTTGAGACATCAGATGACTTTTAAAATTCCTTGTATTATGAAAAGGAGTAGCAGCTAATTAAGCATCTCAGGCATACTAGGGAATGTATTGGTGTATTCACATAAATTAATTTCTTACTCCATCCATACAAATGTACTTTTAAAAAAAAGTCTTACCTGAAAAATGTCTTTCTGCCATTCTTTATTGTTAGCATAATAAACACCAAAACTGAAAGGCTGAATCCATTGCTAAGAGAATTTGGACATAGTATTAGTTTCTGTTCTCTGCTCAGCCTACTCTGCAAAGGAAGCCAGTTCCTCACTATTTATGTTTTAAAGGCTGTCTCAGGAAGAGGAAGTGAAGATGGTGTGTGTCTGAATCCCAGTGTTCTCCATACCTCATTTAAACCTACAGAACAGCACAAATTACCTAAAAGACATTTCTGAAATCACTGACAATGTTTTGTAAATCCTCAAACTGGTAGACTACCATCACCAGGTGGCGCCAAACGACAAAGTTTGCCTTCTTTAAGGCTGAACAGTTGTGGTTGTGTCAGTAACCTCAGAATAACAAACTGTATTTTAGACAATTACAATGTAGTTAGCAAAGAGCATGGGATGAGAGTGACTGGATTCCCTCTAATCAATACTGCATAGGTCATAAGCATGCAAATGTCAATCAGCTTGAGTCCAGAGAGCAGTTCACAAGTGTATGAAGTAGAGGAGGAAAGCTTGGGGCAGCATACTAAAGACTGACTCAGCAGCCATTAAATGAGACCCTGGAATTGCTAATTCACAGATGAATCTGATGAGGCTGGTCAGTGAACCATACTTAACTAGGTATTCACATTGCTCATTTCAGCTATTTTATTACCTACAATAAACTTAGAAAAAGTTAAAGTAATCAAATTGAACATACAACACTGGAGTTCACCAGACATATTTTCACATTTACATAGCCTTATGACACACAGGTTAAATGAACAGTTCTGGGATAAGCGTTCCTAAGCAGAAAGTGTGAAGGCCAAAATGATCTGAAATACAAAACACTGCCTTAAATATTCTAGATAAAGGCTATCAACCTGTCCTAAGGGCAGACTACATTTTTTCACTTCCCTGTTTTAGTCACATCAGAACTTAAAATAGAGCCAGGTGTTGTAGCAATATGCCTATAAGACATGTTCTCTCTGACCCAGCTGGTGATAAACACCCTGGGGTTTTGCAACAGGACTGCACTAATGAGCAATATCTTTTTACAAACTTTATTTTTAACAGTATCTGCGTAATATTGGTATTTGCTTTATGTTCACAGGGTTCACTACAGAGAAATGAATTTTGTGGGTTTTTTTAAAGACAGAATTCCTTCTTCCATTATTATAATCCCCCCTACACAAAAATAAGAGTCTGCTCACATGACTCCTCCAGAGAAATGTCATTTTCCTACATCCTGTCTGGCATTTCTATACCACCTAACACACTTAAAGTCTTCAAATAAAAGCCAGGCATGGTAGCACATACCTTTAAATCTGACAATTGGGGACACAGGCAGAGGGATCTGAGTTCAAGGCCAGCCTAGTCTACAAATTGAGACACTGACTCAAAAAAGAAAAATACACATATAAAACATCATCATCTTTAAATTGTACTTCACTGCAAAGAAATGACATCCAGAAGAGGCAATATTTTCAAAGTAGAAGTTATAATTTATTTACTGTATTTGACGATAGATACGAAAATAAAAGGTAAAGTACAACAAGAGATAAACCTTTAATCATGACAGCAATGTACTACAAAACTATGGTGTCTTCCTTCCAACTACTAATGACTCTTGTCTTGGGGGCTGAGGAGTAACCCAGGGGTTTGGGCATGCTATGTAAAAGTTTTACCACTAAGCCACACAGTCAGCCCCCTTAATATCAAACTATCAAAATATAGGCATTACCTCCTTCATAACCAAAAATTTTAAGACGTCTAGGAAAATGGAACAAATGTTTACCTCTCAGTTCCCTACTGACAGAAAGAAACTCATGGCCTGATATTGTATAAGCACAGTACTTAAATTTCAATATAAACACAAAAGCCAACAGACCATTTTTTTCTGAACACAGTAAGGTACACATAAGAAAGACACAGAATTCCAGCACAGAACAAAGGAACTTAAGGAACTAAGCCGGGAAAGCTTGTAAAGGCAAAGTCAAGTGATATGAAAACATTTGGCTATGAAATTTAATAGCTTATGCTGTACCCTACATCTCACCTCTTACATCCAGAAGAGCAGCAGGTATATAATTAAAACAGATTATCTAGAAAGAATGGCAAAAAGAAAACAACAAAACAAAAACAAAAAAACTCCAACAACAACAAAAGACTTCCCAATTCTAAGCTGAAATGTGAAGATAATGAAAAAGAAATTAACTTTTAGCTTCAAGCAATGACACACTACATATGGGCTCAGTAAGGATACAAATGCATTCTTTTAAAACCCACCTAAGAGCTGGGCGTTGGTGGCACACGACTTTAATCCCAGCACTCAGGAGGCAGAGGCAGGCGGATCTCTGTGAGTTTGAAACCAGCCTGGTCTACAAGAGTTACTTCCAGGACAACCTCCAAAGATACAGAGAAATTCTGTTTCAAAAGACCAAAAAATAAAATAAAAAAATAAAACCCATCTAATACAGGTAATGTGAAATAGACCGACTCAAACAACAAATCCTCATTTATTTTATTATTAGATGCATGATTTAAAAAATTTGTAAAACTTAAATATACAAGTATTATTCCCTAAGTATGTAAGACTCAATTGACAAAATATTCCTTTTCACTTATGTTGAGTTTTAGGAGCACATAAGCAACCAGTTGTTTATCAGTTGATTTTTAACCCTGTTATCGAAAAGTTGTCTATTATTATGAAGCCAGGCAGTGGTAGCACACACCTTTAATCCCAGTTCTAGGGAAGCAGAGGCAGGTGGATTTCTGAGTTCAAGGCCAGGCCAAACTGGTCTACAGAGCTATTTCCAGGAGCCCTAGGGCTACACAGAGAAACCCTATCTCGAAAAACCAAAGTATTACGTTCAGAGCATTAAAAAAAAAAAAAAAAAAAAAGCTTTTCTTAAGAGAGACACATGGCTGAGCTATTTTAAGGCATACACCCTCAGACTCTCTTCTTTTACAGTGACCAGCCCTGACAAATACGCTTCTTTTATATATGTCATCAGGGTTATTTGGTAGGCTACCATGTCCTTACCACATCTGATTTGTAAATTAAGAGGCCAGGGTTAGCAGATGGCTCAGTGGGTAAAGTGCCTGCTATGCAAGCCAGAGAACACAAGTTTGGATCCCCAGCACCCTGTGTGAAACCCAGAGCAGCAGCAAGCATATGTAATCCAGGCAGCAGGGGTAGAAGACAGATGCCCACTGGTCAGCCAGTCTAGACAAACAGACCCTATGCATCATGGTAAAGAGCCAACAAAGGAAGGAACCCAACAATGACCTCTGGCCTTCACATGAGCATACCTAGACACAAACACAGGCCACCACTCAAAATAAGCCCATCACATCAAAATTTCAGCAACATAACTTTCCTATAACTCACCTTTTTCATTTTCTTTGTATCTACAAACACCAACTGGAATCTCAGCTTGAAACATGGAGCCCACCATGATTTCCTATTTTAAACATAACAAAAAGATCTCGTGATACACATCATATGTTCATGTTTAGCTTCACCTTCTTCTTGGGTAAACTCACTCTGGTCTCTCTGTCATAAAACCAATTACCTACCTCATGGTAGAATTGTGAGGATGAATGAGTTAATAATAGCTAGGAGCTTACATATGACTGGATGGGAAATAATAATAATGACTGAAATGCAATATAAACAATATATACAAGATATGGAGAAAAATTAGTAACTGAGTTTTGATTAGCTAATAAAAATAATTTTTAAAAATACCCTGAAAAATAGAAAAATCAACTTTGGGCGTTTTTTAAAAGTATTTATTTACACTTATGATTCTTTGTGAAGGCAGCATAAACACCACTAGCGAAACTGTTAGAAACTGAAGTCTTTAGGTCCCAAAGGCAACTTTAACTCACACTGAAGCCTGAGAAACAAAGGTTTAAGATAAGGGAACAAAACATAAAAGGTTTGTAAAAAGTTTTGAAGGACAGATTCATTTCCAAATCAAGTCTTTTTGCTTGAGGTTAGTGCCTAAATTTCTTCAATACAAAATGAAAAAGTACCCCTTCCCCAAAAGGTTTGAAACTGTCTCTTGAGAAAGGCAACTGGAAATCACCACTGAGATTTCTCATGGAATGGGGATCGTCACAAATAGATCCAGTATTTTCAAATGAAAATGTGGACAAAAACAGAGCAGTGGTGGTGCACGCCCTTAATCCCAGCTCTTGGGAGACAGACACAAACACATCTCTGAGTTCAAGGCCAGCCTGGTCTACAGAGTGAGCTCCAGGACAGCCAGGGCTACACAGAGAAACCCTGTCAAGAAAAACACACCCCAGCCCCCCAAAGTATGAGCATGCTTTAGGAAGTTTAGATGACTTAGGGTTAGAAAGCTTCCTCTCTGCTGCTGTTGTCACTTCTCAGTTAACAGCATCTCACTCTACTTCAAGGACATGCTCAATTCAATGAGACTGTTCTTATACTACAGAGGAAAGCCAGACTTTCTCACGGTTAGATTTCAAAAAAGACCATCGCAAAAGACAAACCTCCTCCTCATTGCTTAGCATTCTCTTAATGATGTCCACTACAGAATACCTCTGCTGTCAATCCCTATGCCTCTTTTTACTTTATTCACCAAAGAGTCACAATCATTCTTTAACTTTCACCCCAGAATGGGTAATTACTCCCTATAGATTCATGCATGGAATTCCCCCTTCAGTTAATCATCTACACTATATACTCTGGCACCTCCCCAGATGGGAAAGAATTGCATACAATAGGGAAGAAGGTGCAGAAGGCAATGCCTCAATCTCTGAAGACTCATTACAGCTCCTCCTTCTATAAGGAAACATCAACACTGTAGCACAAATAATAAAAACCCAGAGATAGATATTGGGGTTAAAGCTGAAGATCAGATAAGCAAAGCAGCCAGTTCTCACCTCTACCAAAGCTCAGACTGAAGGGGCGATCCAACTACACTGCTGCTCAGACTCACTGAGACTGCAATGCATTCCTGTCTCCTCCAGCCTTATATTCCTCTCCGCCCAGCTGTATCACTCCTGTCCCCACCTCCATAGTGCTGGGATTAAAGGTGTGAGCTGTTTCTCATTTAGACTGATTCACGCCCATGTAGCCCAGGGTGGCCTTGAACACACAAAAGATCCATTTGCCCCTGTCTCACAAGTGCTGGGATTAAAAGTATGTACCACCACTGTCTGGCCTCTATGGCTAGCTAGTGTGGCTACCTCTGCACTCTAATCTTAGGCAAATTTTATTTGTTGTATCATAAACAAAATATTACCACACAACATTCTCCGGAAGGTAGTCAAAGTTGCCCTGTGATGGCTACTATGTTCTAATAGGAACAAATATACATGGAGGCAAAACAACCATAAACATGAAATGATGAAATAAAACAAAACCAAGGAAGAAAAAAAACTTCAAAGGGTGTTATCTCTCACTATGGAAAATATTCTCCTACAGAAATGATTTGCTTTAACCAATTACATATAGTACGTACTATGATTTCCTAAGAGGTTCAACTCCTGTGCAATACCATTAAATTAAACCCTACAAAATTTAACTGTAGTTAATTAAATAATGCTATGTAATAGTTTAAGGAAAAAGAACCTAATGTTTCAAGTTTATTTTAGAAATTAGTTGTATGTCTGTAGAGCAGCCCAACCCACACCACCAACATTTCTTACTTTAGGACTAAATGACAAGAAATTTGGATTTCTAATATTGGTTTGAGTATCAATATACTCAGCAAACTCCATTCTACCCACCCTATCATTTTATGGTAAATGTATTTCTTAGTTGGATATATTAATGCAGACCTTAAATAACTTTTTACAAAATGCTTAATGCCACAAAAAAGGCTAATACACTGATTTTGTCAATATGCATTAAAATATTCCTGGCTTTTAGAATATTACTATAAGTTTTGGAAAAATACCTTTTTCCAGTCTTCTGATGGAATATAATCTTCATCTTCTTCAGATTCTTCTTCTATTTCACTATCTAGAATATATAAGAGAAGGATACTATAAAACGGGCAGTTATCCTGTTCACATCTATACGTCTTTGCATTTTTATACCTACCATCAAATATTCAGATATGCTAAAAGGTCTGCTAAATCAGACCAAGATATTTAAAATCAAATAATGAACACTGTATCTAAAACAAGACAACAATAACAACAAAATTCCCCCAAATAAAAGAAAAACTATGTTTCCTCAGCTGTATAAGGAGTCCACTAGAGTTTGATTCTCAGAAACCACACTTAGGTGAAGGAGAAAGGTAACTCCTGTTGTCCTCTGATCTCATCCCCCCACAGTGGAAAACTGGTGAACTATATTAGCATATATTCATACCCCAAGAACCTACCACCCATTACACCAAGATTAGAGAAGATAACACTATGAATACATAGCTATGTACTTCCCGATGTCATCTTTGGTCTCTAGATTCTATTTATGATGGTGTTCCTGCCAAGACTATATCATCTTGAGATCCTGTGTTCACATTAGTCACACAGCCAAGAAACTTGACAAAATTATTTCTCAGAATACATCCCTGTTGCTGAGTGACACATGATTATACATGAAAGATGGTGCAGAATCAAAGAAGAGTACAAAACAAAATCTTCAAGACTACACAAACTAAAAGGAACACACCCATATTCAGGTAAAGCAGTAAATGTGATGTATGCACTGAGAACAGGTCCTTCATTCTGATACTCTAGTAACCCCTAACAAAATCCATTTACCTTTGAAAGCAATATCATGAGTGAATTCAAGTATCAGTAAAAGCACATTAGAATTTTAGGTAATACAGAAGAGGGAAAGTTACATTCTAACTAATGCAATGATAATACACATACTTGTATCAAAATATTTACAACGACGTGGGCGGATTATTTCCTGAGCATCTTGGGAAGTAGCAGATTGTGAGGGATCATCATTGGAAGACTGAGTTTCATCCTCCTGGCCCGATGAATCCTTTATAGTCTCTTCCTATAGAATAAGAAAATGTGTGAGCCTCTTTTATCTAAAATTATTTTTTAAAAATGAATACAGAACTGCCAGGCAGCCTATATAATTTAAAAGTAACAGTTTTGTTTTGGTTTTTTAAATTGGTACTATTCAGAAAAAGCAGAAAGCAATCTGAAATGACAGTACAAACTTATCTCACTGGAGTGAATTACAATGTATTTTCTTTTTTTTTTTTTTTTTTTTTTTTTGGTTTTTACGAGACAGGGTTTCTCTGTATTGTTTTGGAGGCTGTTGGTCCAGCCCGGCCTCGAACTCACAGAGATCCGCCTGCCTCTGCCTCCCGAGTGCTGGGATTAAAGGCGTGCGCCACCACCACCCGGCTGATTTTCAATTTTTATATACACATTTCTGTAGTTTTGTTTCTGAAATTTAACTTTGCTGTACAAATTATATTTAGAGCTTAGTACTATCTGTGGCTTCACAAAGACAACAAAAATTTTAGAACATAAATGTTCCACAAGATAAAAAACACTTACTTTATTTTCCCCACTACAGCCACTGTTGTCATCATTATCAGCATCTTCATCATCTTCACCTTCCTCCTCCTCTTCCTCTTCCTCCTCATCTTCTTCAGGTAACCGAACAGTGCTGTCATAACCATAGAGGCTGAGAAGCTCGTGGATTGGCATGTCGCCTTCCTAAGTACACAAAAAAGTCCATTTCTGAAGTTAGTGATCTCCTATTTCCATGTTACAATTTACAAATCTATACAGTACTAAATTGACAGTCCTTTTTTTACTTAGCATGTGTGTGTGTTTGTGTCTAATATGTTTAGTATTTTCAAATTAGGAAATAATGCTATCTGAAAAAGAGGTCTAAGATATTTATTGAATATAGAAGTTACCTACAGGGAGATAGGAGCTCTGGGAACGTGGCTAGCTACCAAGAGAGACATTTTGCTTTTCCTTTCCTTTTATATCCCACCTGTCCCATGTATCCCTGCCCACACCCCAAATTGTGGGCTCACCCCTACATTTCATCAGAATTACTCTTCGTTGTTCATTAATATGCAAACTAAGTTAATATTGTTTCAAAACAAGCTGTACTTTCCAAACAACTGAAAAAGAAAAATACTGAAACACATAAAAAATGACTGGGTTCAAAATCTAGCACTACCTAAAAGAAGAACAAAAGAAAAGTCATGTCTGAAAGAACAGAAATGTTCATAGTATCAAACACAAGTACTAAGTTGTCATATTGAAGTTGATAAAACAAGGAGCATGACTATAAAAAGTTCAGATAAACAACCAGGTACAATGGTGTAGGTGTGTAATCCCAGGACCAGGGAGACTGAGGCAGGAAGATTTCAAACTCTAGGCCAGACTGAACTACACAGGGAGTGCAAGGCCTGGCTGGAGTGCAGAGCTGAGACCATGTTTTCAAAAAACGATAAACAGGAAAGCATAAATGCAAGCAGAATAGACAAATTCTACTAATATACTATTTGTCTTTTTGGGACAGGGTTTTACTACATCTACACTGGCCAGGGAACTTACTCTGTAGCCTAAACTCGTTTCCAATTCCTGGTCTTTTTGCCCTAATTCATGGGTGCCTGAGTTAAAAGTGTATGCCAGCTGGATGCCAATTTTATTTGTAATTAGAGGTAGTCTTAGCAGTAGACCCGCTCGGAGAGAAGAGTCTACATCTTCCAGCAATCTATCCCTGATGGGCTTTACTGGATTCCTCTAGTCTATCAACTAAATGCTGAACACATGACATTTGTCTCATAGAACACATGGAAAAATAAACACTGAAGACACTAAACCTTGGGTCAAAGTATACAACTTTGACATTTTTTGTATGTTTGTGTGTGTGTCACTTCTAACAATGGATTGGCAGATATCATCTGTGCACGGGGACAGGGTAAGAGTGAGATACAGTATTATGCAGCATTCAGAGGTGAGAGAACTTTGGGAGGTCCTTCTCTATCAGGACATTATTGTACTAGGGTCTACCCATTTTAGAGAACATTACATTATCAAAGTATACATTCTACCAAGTATTAAGTGACCATTTCCTTCAACTTATTTCTCTGACACTTCAGCTAATATGTGGTTGGGAAACCCCAGGGATCATCCTTTCTTAGCATTCCCAATACCATCCAGGGTTACCTGGTTTTTTTATATGGGTGCTAGGGATACAAACTAAGATCCTTGTGCTTACACAGCAAATGCACCGAACACTGTGCCACCCCCCAAACTGATGACATCTTTGGAAAGAATGAGAAGTTTACAGATTTTGCCAGGTCTCTGGGTCCAAGCTAATGAGAAACAGGAATATCTGCCCTCTAGGAAATGCTTTGATTCCCTTATCTCACAAAAACCAAACTCAAAATGCTCAAAGTACTATCTACAATCTCACTGGTCTTCAACAGGAATACCTCTTAATTAGTACCAGGTAGACATGCATTAAGAACATTCAGCTACTCTGTTTGTTTGTAGTATTTTATCAGAATCAGCTAAACAAAAACGCAGTGAGTGTCTCACACAACACAGGAACAACGCGATGAAAAGATTTGAAAAAGGAAGCCCAATCGTATTAAAAAGCAGAAACTAAGGTATCACTTGAGCCCCAAATCCTGGCTATTTTCCTGCCCTTAATCATGTTTTTGTATACAATATAATGAATTCTTCACTGACTGCTTTAGTTCCAAATGGACTTCTGTCTTTCTACTCCCAAGATTCTGATGGTATCAACAGTAGTGATTTTCAAAGTGAATATTCTATATTTCCCTCAGAGAAAAAGACTGAAGGATGATTAAAACTTGGCCAATAGAACATAAGTGAACAAGGGTCTAAAGTCACCTAGTCTAGAGAACATCTTACTAGTTTTGTTATCAAAGTCTAACTTCTACCAGTATTAAAGGATTTCATTCAATTATATTTAAACACCATGATGAAATAGCTGGGTTTTATCCTTCATCTAGGAGCAAGGATATAGGAATAGGAGGACAGAGATCAAAAGCTATAGGGCATACAGTATATGCGTACTACTGTGCATCAGCTTTCTCTGAGAAACACAGGAATGATACATCTAAGATTTAAGATTTATTCAGTAGTTTATCATGTGCCAGACACTGTGCTTTACATTATTATCTTTGTAAGGATGGAAGTTTAACAATGATAATCAAGTTACATGCTTATGGAAAAGTGAGGTTAAATTAAGAATCCAGGTTACCTAGCTCACTGACTTGCTTACTTAGTTATATATGCACATATACTTTACTCCTTGAAATCTGTTACATGTTCACCATGCTGATGCAGTATGAGATAAGGGCTGAGTAGATAAGACTATGAGGGATAAAGACAGACACAGGCTGAATAAAAATGGATGTATATTATAATGTGCTTTAGGAAGTAAATTTTATAAATACCATAATAAAAAGTGGGACAGTCATATCTGTGTAAGCTAACAGTACACTGGCTAAAGTTTAGAAGAACAAGCTACTTAAAAGACAAACACCAAGAGCTCAATGGTTAAGAACACTTACTGTTCTTGCAGAGGACCAGGATTTGGTTCCCAACACCCACAAAGAGGTTCACAACTGTCTGTAACTGGGGTTCCACAGGATCTGACACCTTTTTCTGGCCTCCCTCCACAGACACAGGCACATCATACATGGTATAAAGACATGCACGCATGACAAACACTTGTCTCGGGATTGAAGTCAAGACAGGAAGATAAAGTCATCAAACACTGACACACTAGAGTACTGTAAGATCCGAGTAGCATCAACTTCTTGGTTGCAGAAGAGATGACTGGTCTCTCATGCATGTGGCACAGATGCAAACTTTCACAGCAGGGCCATCTGGTGGATGGGCACGCTATTCTTCACATATTTACTGTACCAAAATAGACTTAGCAATACAAGATTATGAAGAGGGGAGGTAAGTCCTAAGGGACCCCATCAAGATTAAAGACAGTTCCTAAGGTAACCAATCACTTGGGGCTACTAGTTGACTAGAAGACAAACTACAAAGATAAAAAGTCAGTAAATTTCTTTGATAATTTTCATATTGGGGTTTCTTTAGTATTTATAATTCAGCCTGTGCATACTATCAGATCCCAAAAAAACTCAGGGCAAACAGCTAACTATGGTACCTATTAGTACCTATAGTGCAGCAGGCCTCAAGTTCTCTCAACATCACAAGTACCTGGCACAGAGTCCTAGCTCCTCTCAGCACTTCTCATCCACTACCCTACCTTAAACCTCTTCAAGTCCCTGAGCTTCCATTTCTATCCCCAGCTTCTGATTCCAAGATAACCCAGCCATTTCAGCCAAGCACTCTCTTGGTCCTCCTCCCCTCTTGCCCTTCCTTCTCTCTTGATTTCCTTTCTTACCTCTCCCCCTATGGACAGGTCTATTCTGCTGTCCATGCTCATATTCAGTCTGGACTCTTGCAGATGCCTCTGGCTGTTCTCTCCTTCATGTCTACAATAAAAACCTTCTCCTCAACCATATATAGGAGTAGTGATGTTCTCATTTTTTTTTTAAACCAGATAGGGTTTCTCTGTATTGTTTTGGAGGCTGTCAATCCAGCCCGGCCTCGAACTCACAGAGATCCGCCTGCCTCTGCTTCCCAAGTGCTGGGATTAAAGGCGTGTGCCACCACTGCCCAGCGATGTTCTCATTATTATTCATGTACACTGCAAGAAAATCTCAATCTTTCATACTTTTTTCTAGAAAGAGAATTCAGAGAAGTGACAAATTGGGAGACAGCTTTTACCACAAGGTGCAAATATACACTCAAGAGGTTAGTGTGGGCACTCACATTAGCCACTCAATCCCTAGCCCTAGGCTTTGGTGCTTTACTGGGAATATGTCCAGTGCTTTAAGGGGTATTAAGAACAAATGTTAGTAATAAGTCTTTTTCTTTTACAATGCATTTAAATAGATGCAATTGATACTCATATTTCTTCTGAATGCAGTGCTACAATTGTGGCCATGCTTGGTCTCTTGAATTTTAACATCACTGGATAAGGGTTAAATTTCGGTACAGGTAATTTACAGCAAACACAAAACTTCATGAATCGTGTGCATAATTTTAACACCCCTATTAGTATCTCAGTAAATTCTAATCAATTCATCTAATTGTATTAAAATATTTAAATGTAAGATTTATATGGGGGCTGGAAAGATGGCTCAGTGGTTAAGAGCACTAACTGTTCTTCCAGAGAACCCAGGTTCAAGGTTCAATTCCCAGGCCCACATGACAGCTCAGAACTATAAACCCAGTTCCAAGGGATCTGACATCCACACACCAATGCAAATTAAAAAAAAAAAGACTTATATAATACCTTTTATTACTGGCATGATACATGCAGCTACAGCTGCAAACATTAAAGCCTGTATCAACAGTAATCAATGAAAAGTTTAGAATTCAACTTGAATGAAATTAAAACTACTTTTAAAGTATTCTAATATTTGAGTATCTTTGAAGTAATTCAGTTGACTTTGATCTGAAAGAACTCAAATAGAGGTGAGAGTGAAATGCATTTGTTAAATTTATTGCTACTTTATGAGCTGTGAAGTTTGCCCACAGAAACAGATTTCATATAATGAAAGCTCCAAATGTAAAGCACCACCCCCTGAACTTCATTCACCACTGTCTCACTCCCAAAAAAGTAGATGAGTAATCAATAAGACAAACTGGTTTATTTATTAAAGAAAAACTGGCTTGGTTCATACCTATGAAGTTTATAACTACAGGAAATCTAATCATACCACTTAGTTTCAGATTATAAAAGTTGTAGATATGGGGATAGTTAAACCTAAGACTTTGCTCTATGTGGAATGTCGGGAGATTCTGGGAGAGTATAAGACTGCTTGAGATGAAAACATACAGGATTCTTCTTTTCTTTCTTTCTCTGACCTCTATAAATTTCAGTTACCATTTCCTACAGAAAAAAATAAGCTATGACTGTCTAGCTTCTTACTTTTAAAGACTGTTTCTGACCCCAAGTACAACATGAGCTTTTTTTTTAAAGGCTCTGTGAAAACAAATAAACAATATTCCCACCAAAATAAATTCAGTTCTCTGGTCAAAGTTTAGAAAGTTTGCTCAGGCACAGTGGATAATGCTAGTTTTAGTAACTAAATGATTCCAAACAGGACCTAGCAAGATTTAACTAAATGGTATCAGGACTCCTTTCAAATCCTCACCTAAACTCTGAAACATAGATAATTACTGTAGAAGTATAATAACATTCATTGTCTCTATCTATAAATACCAGCACTATGTCTGTTTTACATTTGTTTTATCAAAGGAGCAAATTAGGCCATACACATAAGTTTTATTAGAGAATACTAGATCCCCTTATAAAATCAATGAAGGCAATAGGTATTATTACATATACATATATGTATATATTTTATATATATATATATATATATACATACATACAAATGTGTATGAACTGTGGTGGGAAAACAAAACTAAAACATACTGAATAGGATATAGTATTTTGTTTATTTCTTATTAGCATATACGAATGGCAATGCCAAATCCAGAGAAGGCAGCAACAAATCCCAGACTGCCAAGCATACCTCAAACAAGAACAAACTAGCCAACCCAAAAACAAAAGCAGTTAGTAAGGTACAGTGTAATAGGGCTTTTGTGATAAATGGAAAAGGTCCTATCAAGCAGTTGGCCTTGCAGCAAAATTAAGTAATTTAGATTTTTCTCTAGGAGTTATAGGAGGTTGAAATAAAAGGATTTGTACTTTAGAAAGGTCATTATAGATACTGCATGGAAATCTACTGGAAGAAATGTAGTAAAACCAAATGGAGAAACCAATTAGGAAGTAGTCATAATAGTCTAGGATAGAAAAAAAATATCTACTGGGGTAGATATAGAACAAGAACTGGATAGAGATATTTCAGTGGAGAGCAATGGCAGGGTTATTTAGAAACTCAACATCGATGAAGAAAGAAACATTCTCCCTGGTCTCAGTATAAAGAAATATTTTTTAAGTGACATTTTTATAGCTAGAGAAGGTACACGTAAGGAGGGAATAGTAGATGTTGTTTTGAGTGTTCACAATTTTAGAGATAGCTGCCAAAATATTTTAGGAAAAAGTCAGGTTAAGCCAGAAATACAAACTAAGAAAAAGCAAGCAGAGACCATGGAACAGATCAGATCATACAGCTTGGCAGTTTCAGATTTGGAAAGCAGGTAGCTCAAGCTTGCTTAGTTAAGATGTAGGCTGGGAGCCTACCCTTGGGAGAGTTGTGGTATTTATTAAGTCTACAGCACATTCGGAGGCAGCTGACCTTTATAGTATGTACATGCTGAGCAATTACCTAATAGAGACAAGAACAGAAGAATAGGTCCAATAAACAACCAACAAGTACAAACACTTAAACTTTAGGTAAAGAAAAACGCACAGGGACACTGAAGGGAAAACAAAGTACAGGGAAAAGCAGAGCGGAGAAAGAATGGTAAGCTGTGTTGACTACTAAAGAGAGTTCCCAAGAATGAAAAGGAGCAATGGGTGTAGAAAGGTCAAAGGTGAACCCTGATAGCAAGAGGCAGGCACAATCTAAAACTTAATTAGAGAGGAAAATGATGACATTTGAGACATTTAGACTTTGAAGAGGGTAAATAAAAGATTCAGTAACTGGGGATGGGGTGGGGACCACAAGAGAAAATTCAGGATTCTTTTAGTGTCCATTTCTGACAGATCTTGATGTTTTATCAAAAACTACTACTGAATTCCATTATTTTACACAATAATTCTTTTAGCCTTAATTTCAAATACCCCACCTATGGGTATTTAAATTTTCCAGCATAAACAGAGGACCCAAGTCTTCAGTGTCCCCTACTCCATATGCTACACCGCTTCACTGCTAGTATAGGTCATTTACCCTTGCAAGATCCTCTATTTCAGAACTGAAGTTTGTCTCTCCTTCCATCATTTCTTCTTCTTCTAATGTTCGCTCATCATCAAAATCATGAACCAGCATGTCAGCTGATGGATCAAATTCATGGTCCTCTGATGTTGCTGAGCCTCCTATAAAGAACATTTCCAGACGTATGGTAAGCCTTTTAAATAAAGTGCATCTTATCAGTGTTACTTTAGTATATATGCATTGTTTATTTGAGGCTGAATGTAAGTTAAAAAGGACCAGGAAAAAGACAGACACAGTAAATGCTTTTGCTTCAAAAAATTATTATCTTTACTCATCCCCACTCCCAAAAGGCTCTTGCAAGGAACTACTGTTTGCCATGGCGCATTCCTATATAATCAGTTTTTTTTTGGGGGGGGGGGTTTACGAGACAGGGTTTCTCTGTATTGTTTTGGAGGCTGTCGGTCCAGCCCGGCCTCAAACTCACAGAGATCCTCCTGCCTCTGCCTCCTGAGGGCTGGGATTAAAGGCATGTGCCACCACTGCCCGGCTATAATCAGTTTATACTGCAAAATGGGGGTAGAATATTTGTAACTTAAAATTTTTTGCTGTAGTCTTCTAAACAGTAAACTCAAGTTATAAAGAAAAAAAAAAAGCTCTATCAAGTAAGCATGGTCTCATTTTGAAAGTTCTCTTGTCCCTGAAAATCTGAAGTCACATATTGCAGAGTGATTTTTAAGGTCGATGACAAGCTGTATATGTTAAAGTGGCTACACTTTTATGTGCTATGATTGCAGAGGGCTACACCATACAGTCTAGGTATGTGCTAGGCTTGTAGTGGTACACTCTATGATTCTTGAGTTTACTGGAATGTGAGCTTGCTGTTAAGCAACAGTGGACCACTGAGCAAAAATAATCATGTACCATCAGCACTACCTTAAAGACATTCTAGTATTTGAGTATTATCTTGAACTTATGCAATTGATCTGTAAAAACTCAGGGGTTATGAGTAAAATGTAATAATATATATATACAATTTTTATCAAAGGCAATACAAGTAACTCTAAGGAACTGATATATCCTAATCAACATTTAGCCTGGTTAGGGGGATGTTACTCGGTTCAAATAAACTGCAAAAGCTAAAGCATGGGTGTTCTATAGACATTTCCTACATTTTGGTTACTGCCAAAAACCAGGGAATACCAATGTATTAGAATTCTTCAGGCAACTCCCACAATATTCAGAAAGCCCCCTCCCCTTTTACTATATGCCAAATAATAATAAGCTTAGTCATTTGACAAACATTATCTCAATCCTCAAGCAGTGGTATAAAGTAGGTATTATCACCCGATTTAAAAGGGGGAGGGAGAAGTAAGATTCAGGCTTAAGGAATGTAAGAAGCACTTCTCAACACAGTAAAGATGAACAGAGTCCTAACTGTAACTTCAACTCCTGTGCTCCAAACTTCCTGTAAGTCCCTACATATCTTGTCTTCAAGTGTAAGGACAACGAGTTATTAATCATTATGTAAGTTTCAGAATAATTTATATAAAAAATAGGCATCTTTTCTTAATTTCTTATAACAGACTGTCTTAGTTTTATTGTTATTACAGTAGTAATTGAACTACTGGGCAGGAGGGTTCCTATGAGAGTACAAATAAGAACCATTAATTTGAAGTTTTGTTTTTATCATCCTTTCAGTTTTCTGAAACTTTTCTTCTGAGACACTTAGCAGTAAACAGTGTCGAAATCTCACAGATGATGCTACACTTTTATTCATGTTTTCGGACAGAAAGATGCTTAAAAAAACTCTATTATTGGAGCTGGAGAAAGGGCTTAGCAGTTAAGAGGACTTGTTACTCTTGCAGAGGATCTGGGTTCAGTTTCTAGCAAACACCTGGTAGCTCACAACCATCCTTATTTCTAGTGGATTCTTCTTCTGGACTCAATGAGCTACAGGCATATCCACAGCACATATACATACACATACAAGTAATAACACCCTTACACACAAAAAGATTACATCACCATCCCTCCATATGGATATTATTAACTTAAACTTAACATAGTTCTTATTTAGTACAGATATTGCCAAAAATAGTTATACTAAATATAGCCACTCATCGTTATACTGTTATCCACTTAAACATTTCCAACTCACTAGTACACAGCACCAAATCATGAATGTCATATTACTTACCTGAAATCTCTTATCTTTTGTCATCATTTGCAGACAGTTCTACTTAAAGACCTGCCACCTTATCCCCCTTCCCCACTACATGAAATGCCTAAGTGTATGAGTTGCTTTTCTAATTTCAACCTTTCCCAAATATGTATCGCATATCAACTTTCAATTTTAACTATTTTCTTAGCTTAAACTGATGTTTACTTTATATGAGTTCTTACTATCTTATTTGCAAGTAGCAACTAACTATTCTATTATTGTCTGCCAGATGCTAGACCCATTATTAGGACAGTTTCCTGGAGGGGAAGCTCAATAATAAGAACATCTTTTGCTTTGTAGAAGTTAAGTAATTTGCTAGGAAGTTAAGATAATCACCACTTTGTCATCTACTTTTGGATCATCTTTTTAAAGGCACAAAGATAACTCTAGGTTACAATGTATCATGTATACCAGTTCAATTACTTAAAAATTTCCCCTCTGCCAGGCATTGTTGTCACAAGCCTTTAATCCCAGCACTCAGGAGGCAGAGGCAGGTGGATCTCTTTGAGTTCAAGGCCAGCCTGGTCTACAGAGCAAGTGCCATGATAGGTTCTGGAGCTACACATAGAAACCCTGTCTCGAAAAACAACACCAAAACCAAAAAAAAAAAAAAAAACAAAAAAAAAAAAAAAACAAAAAAAACAAAAACAAAAAACAAAAAACAAAACCCTCTCCTAGAACTCTCACATATAATGGTTTTGTAATGTGCCTGCACTCCAGATAATGCTGACTGAGCCAACATACAAGTCATTTAGCATAGTTATGTGACTATGACAACTCCCAAGTACAGATGCTATGAAGACTAGCTTTTGACAGTTAAGCAGTGTTTTTTTATGTGAGGCCTCTATCCTTAATTCTATCAACTTTAGTAACTCTCTCTATAATTGTACATAGCAACAAACATTCTTTCTGCCAAAGCCCCTGATAGTTATATACTTATTGATGAATGCCTTGAAAGAAACTCTAAAGCTTAGTAAATCTACAATCTTACATGAATAAACACAGGAAACCCATTTTCTTTTTTCGGCAAAACTCATTTCTAGAGTTTTGAAAGAAAAAAATACTGGAAATATTTCTATACTTTACAATCAACATAGTGATGACACCTTTCTAATCTTGTTGCTTCTAACTCCTAACCATCCTGAACTCATTTATAAACTACAAAGTTAAAAAAGTCACAAAAACCAATATACTTTACAAAAAAAACTTGTAAAATTCGTAAAAAACTTGAAGTAAAGATAAAATCAAGTGTAAAGTTAACACTCAAGTTATTTAGAAGTAATTCAATCCTACCTCCAGAACATAACAATGTATGTCCATGGAAAGCATTCTAGATTATTAGAAAAGACATGTTAAACACAAAAAGTTCCAAGACAGTCAGGGCTACATAAAGAAACCCTGTCTGGGAAGGGAAGAAGAAGAAGAAAAACCAAAAACCAAAAACACACTCCCAAAAAAGAATGAACTCCCCCAATAAAAAATTATAATACAAATGTCTATTGCTTCATTATGCAAAATTCAACAACATGATGTTAAACTTTGCTAACTATTCAATGTGAGATACTTTCAAACAAAACACACCTAAGAGGACTCCTGAGGACTTCTAAAAAAAACATGTACAGTATTGAAAGGAGAATATAAAAAGCCTAGACAAACAGTTAAGAGTATATACAACCTATCCTACTCAAATCTATGAATAAATTCCTTATGTTCCCAATGCAACTCCCCTGCTGAGTAGTTGGCTTATTTTATTATTTCCTTTATTGGTAAACGCATTGACAATTTTTTAATCAAATATAACGCTTTGAGTATCTGTAAGATAACTAACTCCTTTTCAAAAGAACTATTTCATATACACTTTCAATTAAACAACAATTTTAAACTATAAGAAATACATAAAGCAACGGAGGAGAGGGAAGAGGAAAGAGTAACAAAGAGGAGGAGAGGGAAAGAGCACAGAGTTAGGAAGAGGAACTCGCAGCAGCCTCACCTGTACTTTCAGGGGCAGTCAAACATTGCATCCATTTCTTTTTCCCCAGAAAAAAGAAGCATTCACAGAAGAAAAGCAAGTCAGATGATAGTCTAGCTCCTCTAGCCTTTATGTCAACTAACAGGACAAACAGTCGAATGGGATTATAAAAACACATAAAAATACTTACCTGGACTTGAAGACTCAACAGATGGCTGAAGGGAAAAGAAAACAAATTAGCATTTTTGTATCATGTACCTTCATAAACATTTTAAGAAGCACTCAATGACTAATGACACAAAAACTATACCAAGTTTTAATGCCTAAAAAAAATTTCACATGATCTTTCCCTTCCATTATGCTTGGACCTAAAGAAACACCCAACACACTCTTGGATTTAGAAGCAAAAATAGTAATATATGAAATTAATTCTGATTTTAAAAGCTGTACAGTCCTCAAATAGGTGAGCTAAGAGGTATGGTTTTAGATCTTAAAATCTTCAAAAAAAGGTTTCATCCCACTTATACTGAAATAACCATACACAAAGTTTGATGTCAGTGGTTTGTAAAGCTCAAAAAAAATAAACAAACAAAAAAACCAAACAAGTTCTGCCAATAGCTATATTCCCACCTCACCCTCGAGAAGGACAAGAGCTTTCTAAAGTCCAGGATGGCTTTGACCTCACGATCTCCTGCCTCAGCATCCCAAGTGTAGAGCTTACAGGTATCACTGTACCACTCATTAACAACCTTAAATGGAAAATATAAAGAAAATTGGCAGCAACTACTTTTACTAATATTGCCATTTGACAGTGTGGTTATTTTATCTCAATTCTGTTAATTTACAATTATAAACAAATCATCTTCAAACTAAGTTCCTTCTAGATAAATGCAGTAACTTGGGAGAATTTAAATGCCAGTTCAGCCAGAGATACTCATTGATGTTTTGAGAAGGAAGGAAGTCATCACTGGTAAAAGAAAGAGCATGCTATTAAGAATATTTCTTCTACTAAACACAACAGGCGTGAGAGTTAAGGTAATAAAATGGAGAAAAGTATTCAGTTTTCAAGGGCCTGGGAATCTAAGACAGATCTCTACAAGGTATTTAAGTTCCATTTTGAAACCTACCTACGTCATGGTACTGTTGTAAGTGGCATTCCAGATTCCAGTGGTGACCTATGCTGGCTTTTGAGGCACACTTTTTCAGAGGTCCAATTTCTTTCTTTTTTTTTTATTTTTAAATTTAAATTTAAATTAGAAACAAGGTTGCTTCACATCAGGTCCAATTTCTACTTCTAAACTTTAGTAAGAGAACAGTTCATCCCTTCAGCATGGTTTTTCTAACACCACCACCACTAACAAACCCAAACAGTATAGATCGTATTACGCATTTCCTATACCACACCAGCATTATTTCAAGTTACTATACCAGAAAAGTTAATAGGGTTGTTTAGTTTGGTTTCTCTGATGAGAAGCTGGAGAGCAGGATGCCATGGAAATAATACAATAGCCATAAAAGCAGAACTACAGTTCTGACGTGAAATGGGTGTTGGCGCCATACATATTATCCAGCAAATCTACATCCTAAAATCTTAATTCCAACTATAAGTCTAACCTTTGGACAATTACATCATTCAATGACTTCATTTGGTGCCAAGTTGATCAGTACTACAGAAAAGTTTCATCGCAGTCCTTTCCTTTTTAAGTAAATGTCTAAAACAAATACACATGGCATAAACAGCCACCACAATTTCTTATAGATTAGGGCTCAAAGAGAAACAGTTCCTAAACATAATTATTTTTAACATTACAATGTTTTATAGTCTTCTGATTAAAAAAGAAAAAGCTTTCTGAAATCAAGTATATTGGCACACTTTTAATCCTAACACTCAGAGGCAGAGGCAGGCAGAGCTTACTGAGTGTGAGGCAGGTCTGGTCTACATAGTGTATTCCAGATGAGCCAGATATAGTAAGACCCTGCCTTAAAAGGGGGAGGGTGGCTTTTGACTGTAAAGAACTACTACTGGACATTATATGGTTTAACGGCATTAGCTATTATCAATAATAGGATACTGAATATGGAAGCAGTATACTTCAGTTTATAAAAGATCTTTCACCAGCAGTAAATAACAATACCGCATTGGTGAGTATTATCATCAAATAGTTGCCAGCTTCAAGTTCTAAAATGGCCCCAAATATAGAGGACTGGCAGCACTGTTAATAACAGCACAGGGTACTCCACTGAGCACATCTCTTAATGTTCAGAGAGCTAATATTCTATCAGAAGTGCTGGGCTTGATGGAAGATGGCATACGCCGGCTGCAGAGGGACAGGACATGCTAAGTGTCTATATATTCTAGTTCTTTATGTCACAAATAAAAGTTTACTAGTTTGGGAGGAAAGGGTGAGATTATTTTATTGCAACTTAATTGCAACCAATTAAATCAAAGATTACTTGCTGAAAACAAGCATTTAAAAGTTATTATGGGGCTGGAGAAATGGCTCAGAGGTTAAGAGCACTGGCTGTTCCTCTAGAGGTCTCTTCTAGAGGTCCTGAGTTCAGTTCCCAAAGAACACTGTATACATAATAAATAATGTTTTTATTTTATAAAAAGTTCTTATTGTGAGCTCCACTTTTATTCAAAGAACAAAAATGATTCAAGATGAAGTTGTGTTTAATATCACAATACAGGGGTTTCAATATAGAATGAACATTTTTATAGACATGCAAGAGAACAGAATTCATACAGTGCTACACATTCTCAAGCAGAGTTACTTTATTTTAATCATGTTTGTAGCAACAACACCTATTCCGTCCACTCATTTCACACCATAGTAAACTCGGAATATGCACTAAAAAGATGCACCACCACAGTGGCGATGGAGACAAAGCTAAGGAAACCTATCACTCTAGAACCCTCTACATCTCAAGCCAAAGTCAAACCACTCTGTTCTCCCTTTTCTCTCGTTACTATTTCTAAAAGCTTTTCTACCAGCTCAAAGCATGCTTAAAATATAAAATCAAATTGATTATTTACCTTGTTGAGCACTTTTATTTCTTTAGGAACTAGCTAGTAGATTTAACAATCTACTCCAAAACAGCTTGGACCATTTACCTTTTAATATTATAGTAAGTTAGAAAGAGGAATGAAGATAAAACAAAACTATAAATAAGTAATAATTTTTAACTATCTATTCTTATGTACATATAAGAGGAAGACTCACATTATTGCTAAAAATATGAATGATTGCAACCATTCAGGAGATCCTTTACCAACATCAACATAGCCTATCACACATATAAGTGTATATCAATGTGTGTGTATTATTTATTACCATAGCTTGTTTAAAGCAATGAGTTGGGTGGAAAAAATAAATTCATTATTTATGTAGTTTTAAATGATACATGGTTCTTCTAAGCAACAGAATACCATGAGTCTGTAATAGTGACGAAACATTTTGTGTTTGAGCTAAAAGAAGACTAAAAAAGGTATTGGGAGTTTAATAAAATCACTAATATCTATACTCAGGAAGTAAGTCAGGAAGCAAAGGGTTTTCCCATTTCATATTTTTCTGTATGGCTGGAATTTTCTATTGTTTTCATGTTTTACTTATTTTTTTTAAAGAAAATGAGGATTATCTTGTGGAATTATAAGTCTTATTTTTTTTCAAAAAAAACTAAACCACTAGTACACTTTAATACTAGCACTTGAGAGATAGAGGCAGGCAGATCTGAGTTCGAAGCTAGTCTGGTTTACAGACTGAGTGCTAGGACATCCAGGACTACACAGAGAAACCCTGTCTCAACCCCCCAAAAAACTAGTGCTTTTTACTGTTTCTTAATTATAATTATAAAAAGTTACAGTACATGTTTATGTGGGACAGAAAACTATCTAAGCAGAAGGATATCAAAGGATAAAAAACTGGCTGAAATAAAAGCAGGAGCTCTGCAAAACTGTTCCTGTATGCCACCCCACTCCACAGTTGGTGATTCTGTGGATAAGGTCGCTGTGCTAACCCCAGTGTCTCAACTGTGTTCAACTCTTTTTTGTACTTTTCTAAAACAGAAAACCCCAATTTGTAAGAGTCAAAGACCAACTCTATAAAAAACAAAACAAGACTATTATCATTATTTTTACAAAAACTAATGTGGCCGGGCAGTGGTAGCACACGCCTTTAATCCCAGCACTCAGGAGGCAGAGGTAGGCGGATCTCTGTGAGTTCGAGGCCAGGCTGGACCAACAGTCTCCAAAACAATACAGAGACACCCTGTCTCGTAAAACCAAAAAAACAAAAACAAAAACAAAAAAAACCTAATGTGCTCAAAGGATTCACTATATCTTCAGTGAAAAGAAAAATGGATTTCCCCCCTCAAACCAATTCTATCACCATTTCTTTAGATGTTGCCATCACTTTCTTAGGGAGGTAGAAACTAAAAAGGAAAGGAGGTACCAGGCTGAGACAGAATCAGAGAAGCCTATTCCAGGATGCACACGAGAGGCATATTGTGGCTCTTCCACACAGATGTTTATCAGTTAAACCTGTCTACTTTCAGAAATGCTGTTACTCTATAGACTACTTGAAGTTGAAATTAGGAAATTTACTACAGGTAGTAGTTTCCAAAGGTAGGATGACATTATGGAAGACAAGCATCAGGAACACAGAAGTCTGGGTTTGGGACTTGACTGTGCTACACAGACGAATTGTGTTATGTAGGACAAAGTACATAAACGCTGAACAGTTTCATTTTCTCTATGGTGAAAAGCCTTACATTTCTCTTAAGTTCCTCAAACCTAGGTTTACTTTCATTATGAATTAACTCGAACGCAGCTAAAAGGTAGGTAGGTTTAAAATTGTCTTCTCACTTTACTCTTTAAAACTATGTCTAGAGGAAAAGGCAATTTCAGTTAGCATAAAGCTATTGTGTGGTGCTGCTTTAGAAACACACACACACACACACACACACACACACACACACACAGACAATTACAGAGCCACAGAAAAGTCCAAGCAACAGTTCAGTCACCGCAATGAATTCTGAAGCCATTTGTTAATCCTTTGTAACCACACAAGGTTTGATCTGAGCATCAAGCAAAAAAATTATTTTCACAGACATACTTATGCTTCACTGGCAGCGTTTGCATCTAAATTATATGGGAAATTGATTAGATTCATCAACATTACCTTAAATTAACTCCTTTTATTTCTCCCACCTAGGTTATCAAGAATGTTGACTCTTAGTCCCACCAAATTAAATTATTTCAGAACTTACATGCAACACTGGAGTTCCTGACTATTCTGGATAGCTTTGAGGAACAAATAATAAGCAAAGGAAATAAAACTCATCACTACTATAGAGAATTGTTTATAATTTAAATTCACTGCTGTGAAAGAGGGGGAAACTAACACTGAAGAGAAACAGAACACAATGCAATTTCATTAAAAGCAAACCAAAATCCAAGCAAACTAAAATAATACTAAACAAAAGATTATGTTTTTTTAAAGAGAAATGAACAGATGAACATAACAGTAAATAAATGTATCACTATTGAAAATATTTAGCTTAAAGTAATACATTAAGCAAGTCCATTTAAGCATTTTGTTACAGAAATAGGCTCGGTGAAAAAACAGATCTTAAATTGAACTATGGCTTTTTTTTTTCCTTTAAGAATCCCTGTATGTTTACATACTCTGAAAGAATGGACAAAATTCTTTGTTCCCAAAGGTCCCTATATCACATTCCTTATAAAGCCCTAAGGATCAACTATTCATTCCCCTTATTTTCTCTCCTGACTTGGTTAAACTGTGACTACTCTGTAATTTCCTCCCTTTTAGTATAACTAGAAGAACCTCCTTTAGTAAGCCTACGGTAGGTAATTTTAAGGGATAATAAGCACTGTGAAATATTACCAAAAAGAACTAAGAGGAGCATATACTAATCATGTGCTCACAAAATATGATTCAATGTGACCACAAGTGAAGAACCAGTAAATATATACTTCCTACTATAAACTCAAAGATGACCAGATCAGTATAAAAACAGAAAAACTACTACATATTACAAATCATATTTAATGCCACTTACGGTTACAAATCAAGTATTTTTCTAGAAAAACAATGTTCAGATCATTCTCTGAAGTAGGAAAGAACAGCATTAAGTCTACAAACAATACTTAAATTTTTGCTGGATCGATGCTTATTCAATAATCTTCAATTCCCCCCATATTTACCAAACAAATGCATACTCTCCTCAGTTTTGCTTTATCAAAAGCACAGTATTTCAGAATGCGTACTCTTTACTGCATGAAGAATAACCCTATTAAATCTATACAGACGTAAGTGAAAACATTCTAACCAATCATCTCTCCACCAACATTTTTTCTAAACTACCATTCTTTTTTGAGAACAAACAAAAAACCCTCAATTATTAAAGAACTGAGACAAGGAAAATTATAAATTTACTTGCCACTTCACCTATTTTAGGATATTTTCATTGACACAAAATTCCTTTACTCCTCACAGACCCTTGGGTTTTATCCTACATAGCAAACCAAAGTGCAACCTATAAACATTGAAAGAATATAAACTATATACCAGATCATTAATTAAACAGATGCAATGAAAAAAAAGTCAAAGTCAAATTCTTGATATTGAATCATCCAGGTGTTTCTGCCAATCGTAAGCATTCAATCTCCACATAATGAAATACCCAAGAATAGTGGCTTAAACTAGAAAACAAGAAATGGCCAGTGTCAGCACACCTCTTTCCTTGAATTTTTTAAAACAAAGCAAAACAAAACAATGCTAAGGTAACAAAATAATGTTCTCATTATGCTAGTACTCAACTTTTTGGGTGTGGTTTCTTTCAACTTTAGTGTCAGTATTTTCTTACACAAAGCTACTTTCAGTAACTTGCTGTGGGGTATGACTATACAACATAACCCTTAGCTCACAGTACAGCAGTGACCTACCTAAATCTAGTGAGTTTTCAGCAAGTGGGAGTCCAGTGAAGGTTAACTGATAAGATACCTGAAAATCCAACTATACTTCTTTAGCACAGGAGTCAGACCTCACCAGGAATGAAGTCCAGGAACAGACTGAGAACAGTGAAATAAAAGTAGGGTTCACTAAACTCCTGTCTTGCCATTCTTTAACTATGAATAGGTAAAGAAATGAAAACAGACATAATTTTGCATTTTTGCTGTAAGTAATAGTATTTAATACTGTCAACAGTCACACTACCATAAAAATCTCTTCTTTAATAGCAAAAAAAATCCAAAACATAAATATAAAGGCAATTCTATAATAGAAATACAAGTTAACACCCTGAAAACTACTTCAGGAAACTTGACTGGTACTGAAAGGCCTACCATGCTATGTTTTTGTATTCCAAGATTTAAGGATAATAAGCATATCCACTTCACTTAGCAAATGAAGGAGCTGAAAACAGTTAAGTGGCAAATAAAATCACTTACTTCCTCAATCTATTTTTTGGGTGCCTTTGACATAAAAATATGGAAATGTTCAGCAATTTCTCTGCCTTATTAACCAAGTATTTACATGACTTGCCTCAATGGAGATCCAAAGAAGTCCAAATATAATAATGTGAACGGGGGGGGTGTTATATGAACAATAACGAAATTCACGGATAAAAATAATTAAAGCAAACTACAGAACTCCTGTTTAAAGGCTAAATTTCCTATAGCACATTCTAAGGTCTAATTATTCCTAAACCAACTTGTCTGCCTACCAATCTGAGAGCTAACTAAGGGAACTTGTTTACTAGAAATGAAGCAAAGGTTGGGAAGGGATGTGGCTCGTTGGTAGAGCACTTGTTTGCTTGCTCGCTTGTCTATTTTGCACAAGACCCTTGGGTTCTATCCTATAGAAAAAAAGAGGGCCAAAAGAAACAAGAAAAGAAAAAGGGTAAATAACAGGCAGCTTTAATGCTTTGACTTGGAAGTTGTGTGTGTGTGTGTGTGTGTGTGTGTGTGTGTGTGTGTGTGTGTTTAAAAGGGGGGGGACACAGCAGTTTAGGAGGTAGAGGTGGAAAGTTGGAGATTCTGCCTGGGGAAGAATCCCCAGTTTGAAGCTGGAGAGGGTCCACTGGGTTAACTTCTCCTGCTCACCTATACTAAACTCATGAAAAGGAGGGTCAGCTTGTCCTCCCCCGGCCCCCTCCCCCGCCCCCAGGTACGCAGCCGCGGGCGGGGGAAGACACGGGCAGACTGGCGGGCGCACGGGGCTCGAGAGGGAAGAAAGTTCGCGGGAGCAGGCAGTGAGGAGTCCTCGGGCCGCGCGGGCAGTCGGGCCAGCGAAGTTGCGCCACGGGCGCTTCCGGACGGGCGCCCTCGCCCGCTCCTCACGCCAAAGCCGCCTCCCAACTGCCTCAAGTCCCACGGAGTCTCTCCGCCCAACTAAGTTCCGTGGAGTCCTGCCGGGCGGCCCGGCCGGACAACAGGTGGGCAGCGGCGCCACAGGCCCGGCCCGGGCAGGCCCGCGCCTCCCGCCCGCAGCCCTCCGCCGAGGCCCCGCCGGGGAGGGGCGCTCGTTCTTACCTCCGCCATGTTGGCCGCGCCACCGGGTCACATCGCCGCGGCGGGTCGCGGCCAGAACCCGGATGTGCGCCTGGACCGCGGGGCTCCCGCCGCTGTCTCCGCCGCCGCCTCGGCGGGAACGCGCAGGAGCCGCCCGAGCGCGCCACCACGCCCCGCTCCGCCCCCTCGCGGCTCCCCGCTCGGCGGGACGGGAGGGGAGAGGCCGGCGGGCGGGCGGGCGCGCGCAAAGCAAAGCAGGGCGCGCGCGGCCCCGCGGCCGCGGTCCCCGGGGAGCGCGCGCGAGGGGCGGGCCTGAGAGCCTCCCCTCTGCGCGCCCGAAGTCCGGAAGAGGACCCTGCCCGGCACTCAAGCCGCAAGCGAAAAATACCTTCTATGCTACACGTCTGTCACTTCTCAAGTGCTTTAGCTAGAAAACAGATGTTGCTGGGACACAACAGCAACATGAAGCGCGCTTTGACAAGAAAACGCCTGCTGCCCAAACAGGCAGAGCGCAAAGATGAAGAGTTGCGATGCCACATTTTTGTACAACTACACGAAAGTTTCAAATGTAATGAAAAGCTGCTTTTCAATGAATATGTCTACTTGACTGCACCGAGACAGAACCTACTAACTTTCAATGCCTAAAATACCTGCAAGTAGAAAGTTTGTTTTAATGCACTGGTGGCCTTGAGGTCCACACTGATAATGGCCGGGGCCAATGATTTATTCCAATTTCCTAAAGTAGATGCTGACTAAAATAGATTTAAGGCTGTTATTAAAATGGGCAGTAAGATATTTTGCTAAACCAGAAGTTTAAAAAGCTTTTTTTTCCAAAGACCAGCTTTTTTCCTACATAATTAAGGCTTCTTCTTAATGACAAAGTTTCAAAATAACTACCAATATCATCAGTTAAATGATACTCATGACTTATAAGTAATATACCATGATTAATAATACATTGTGCAAATGTGTACATACGTAACTTTCTTAAACTTCATACTTATAATGCAATATGGGGGATGTTGATTTCTTAAATTATTTCTATTTCCTTAAAATTCTAGATCCCGTCAAGCCTTTTCCCATTTCTAAACACTGACCATGAATCTGAAAGTCTTAAGCCCAGTAACAATTTGTGCATGAATAAACTGCATTTACAGGTATATGAAGTAGCTGCTAAGTGAAAGGACATTACCTTGTAATTTGACAGGAAAAGAATCCAGAGACAGTCTGTAAACCAATTAAACATAAACATCTGATGCACATTTTCTACTGAAAGAAAAGCAAGGGAAAGAAGAGAAAGGAAAACTTTAAGGTTCCCAAATCTACAAACAATTCTTACTATTAACTGCACTGTACAGCATTTTCATTTTAATATCTTAAAGATCATATGCTTCCTCTCCCCACCCCCAAATTCCTGGAGGGAAGTCAATATTTTAGCACAGGTATATATTTAATATTATAAATAAGACACTATTTTGAACTTTTTTAAAATGTCAGTTCCTATCCAAATAGTTCTCACTAGATGAAAAAAGCTAAAGGCAAAGAACAATGAGCATTCGTGGGCCAGAGTTGGGTACAGGTAAAAAACGATAGAGGTAGCTATACCATTGTGATGGAGGACTTTGCAGTAACATATGAGAGGTTAATACATATGAATTTTAGCTGGCCACTAAAAGGAAAACTGGAGTATTGTTGATATTTAATACAAAGGTATAACTTGCTTTAGCTCCTTGAGTTTTTGGTTTTCCTGTTAAACCATGAACAAAAATCCGAACAGTAGCAAAGAACAGACTCAGATTCCTTGAGCTATGGAGTGAGTCCTCAAAGTCAGACAATCAAGTCTGCAACATTCTGGATAGGCACTTCTTACTGTGAACCATCTTTAAGTTATCTGATATTGCCAACCAATATTATTAACTTTAAACAGCATTAGCCTTTGTGGGGGAAATTCTCTTTATTTCCTCTTGGAAATATAAACTGGGGTGCAGTGTCTTCTAGACATTCTGGAGATGAGGTGAAACAAATATAATACTATAGGAATACACAAACACATCACTACTGAACTCAGTATACTTGTCCTATTGACAATCCTTCCTTCAGGAAAGCTATGTATTTCTGAGAACCCTTCCTTACTCCTTTGGTGTCAGATGTGTAAGAACTCACTACTCATATATTCCTGCTGCGTAGGACCTTGGGGTCTTCTGTCAGAAGTAGGATCTGCCAGGGAGTTTTTCTGCCTGTGTTTACAGACTTACACAGACTCACTGTACCTCTTGAAGAGGCTGTTCTTTTCAAAAACAGTTCAATGCTTGGATCATTATTTCCTGTCTTAAAAGCCAGAAGCTCCTTTCACTCATCACCCCTAGTTCTTCGGCACTCTATAAATTCAAGAAACAATTTCTTTGTACTCAAATGCAAACTGTCAAAAATTATACTTGGGCTAACAAAAAAACATGTATCTAAAAGCAGGACATGGCAGAGTAAAATGCATAGGAAAATTCAACAATAACCTGATCAAAATCATTAGAATTTACTAATGTGACATCCAAAATGGTAACTGTGTTAGAATTCTATATTAAACTGTTTAAGTTAACATTTAAAAAAATGTAGCTGATTCTGACTCTTATGCAAGTTTTTTTTGTATCTCAAAACAACACTATATAAGACCTAAATAAGCCTAAAAAGCCTCCTTATTTTGAGGAAAATTAACATTAACTTTTGCCACATTAAGCTGCTCACAACTATTCTATGTGGTAATGTATTTTTTTAATGCCAATTACTGAATTCTCCATGCAAAAGTTAAACTTTCTTAGCATGTGAGGCCCTTGGTTCATGCTCCAATACTATAAGAAAAAGTTATTAAACAACTTATAGTAGTTATAATGGGCATATGTATGAGTGCATGCATGTTGCACAGCATGCATGCATTCACAAACACACACACACACACTTTCCAGAGATATTTACTTGCTAACAAATATACTTAGGTTCACAAGTATACTTCAATCAGTACCTCAATCAACAAAACCTACTTTGACAACTTACATTTACCTACGATGTATAACCTTTTATTCAGCACCAATACCTGACTCAAAAACTAGTAATATATCTGTTCTATAGGCCTATCTGTTTGTGCAACTCAACAGGTACCTCTCAAAGCACACCAAGAAAATATATGTAACAATTCTGATTGATACTGATAAACACAGCATAACTAAGATCTTAAAATTCTCCAAGTCCCTGAGTCCTCTTTGGAGACTATTTTCTGAACTATTTCCCAAAATTTTTATTTAGAAATGACAGCCTACACTGTGTATGTGATGACAAAATGTCTACAATCAAAATTGTTCTCGAATGACATCTGAGACAGATTGAATTTATCTTGACTTTAGTAGGCAGAATGCAGGTTGCAAAGCACAGCAGCACATACGTCTGGAGGCTCCACAACTATGCAACTGCAATTATCTTTTTGTTAGTTCTTTTATTAATGCCATCCTAAAAGACTTAGAGAAATCTGGCTCTCCAAAGAACGGTTTGGGTTCCTTTCATAATTTTTCCCTACAATTTCATTCAGCGGTCCCATTTTATCCTTATGCTGCAAACTTGTGTTCATAATTCTTAACGTTGCTGATGTTATTCTTATCTCACCCAAAAGCTTGAAAGGGTTGGCAATTAGCAGGCCTACAACACAACAACAGACAGTAGTCCTGTTCCTATTACATGGGGGAGTTTGCTTTCGCCCTCCCTTCATCTCCAATTGTTCCCCTGCCTACCAGCATCACATCCGTCTTGTCTGCATTGAACCTCAACCAGTTGGTTCTTAACCACGTCCGAAACTCAGCCAGGCACTGGGAGAATCGAGCCACCACACCATCTGGATTAAAGGAAAGAAAGCCTCAGTAGGGACTAGACAGAAACAGTGTTACCACAAACTCACCCAGTCTCACATTTTCAAAAAGATGCCTGAGGACCAGTTCAACCGCCCCATGGCAATTTCAGCAAAAAGACACACACACACACACACACACACACACACACACACACACACACACACACGAGTCCTGCAATTTGTAAGCATGCTAAAGATTAAAAAGGAGCCCAATAATTAGGTTTCCGTATTTTACCCAAGATTTAAGAAACATTTAGTCAATTTCGGGTCATTCAGTTAAGCGGCCTCAGAAGCCAAGCCAGTCTTATCATTGCCTAAGGTCTTCTGCAAAATTACAAAGATTGAGGAGATTTAATGTAAGAAAACTGAAGCCCGGGGGGAGTGACTTGCCCAAGGTCACACAGCATGCAAGGACCAGAGATGGGCACCAGGCCAGGAGCCTCTACATTACAAGCTAAAAGAATAAGGCCACTCCGGGGGAGACAGGCACCAGGAGCGGCTCGCTGCCTGCAATGCCGTCTACGAGTCTCTCGCCCCCTAGCTCCCCCCGACAATGGCAGGCTGACCCCGGGTATTGCCCACCACCTCAGGAGATGCTCTGCCAGATAGCCCACGACTGGCTGGGACAGCTGGAGAAAATCAGGGGCACAGAGGTGGAGCCACGGGGGGAGTGGCCAGGAAGCCACACCCCTGCCGCGGAGCGAGGGCCGACCGAAAAGGGCGGAGGCTGGCCTGCCGGCCCGGCGAACTCCGCAGCGTAGTCCCGGCGTGCCGCGGAAGTAGCGAAGCTTTGCAGCCACCGCGAAGCCCGAAAGACCGAGCAGGGGAGGGGCCGTAGCGGAGCGTGCGCACGCGCACGGGACGGCAGTGCCTCCGAGCCAGCCCTCCCCGCACACACTCGTGCAGCCCCGCCCCGGAAGTCCAGGGTCTTCCGGGCGGCGCTCTGCCGTGGGGGGAGGGGAAGTGGAGAAAGGAGACTGCCGGCGGCTCTGGAACCTCGGTTCCCGACTGAAGGATGGGGAAGATGGTTTGTGGAGGCTGCACTTACAGCCGCCGCCGCTGCCGCCGCCTCCGCTGCTGCCGCCGCCGCCTGAAGACGCCCCATCCATCCGCCTGCAGCCGGGAGACTCGCAGCCTGGGAGGGGCCTAGGGCCTGGGCCGCCCGCCTCCTCCGAGTCGTCGCCCGAGCTTCCTCCAGCTCCACCAACCCTCTGCCCTCCCCTCCGCCTCCGCCCTCCTCCTCCACCTCGAGCGGACAGCCAACCGCGCGGCCGCTTCTTGAGCCGGGCTCCTCGGTCGCCATGACGCCCGGCAAACATTCCCAAGCCGCTGACGCGGGCGGTTGGGGTCCGGGCACCGCTGAGCCCTAGTCTGCGGGTCGCCACCATGTACGGCTCTCCGACGAGCACCCGCAAGCAGGCCCTCTTTGCCGCGTAAGTTCCGCACTAGATTCGTGGTCCATTCCTGTAGATCCCGGAGGCAGCCCCTCGGTTTGGGAAGGGGTTCCCACTGTGCATTCAGTCTCATAGAACCCCCCTCTGCGGTGCTCGACCCCTGCCTCCTGTTGCTTCCAAATGCTTTTGCTTGTATTCTTTCCTTTGGTCTTTCAACTTCAAGCCTTCTTGCTGTGCTCGGGCTCCTTGGTTTCTCTGAGCAACCAAAGCTAATTTTAATATGTTCTCCAGCAGAGGATTTTTTTTTTCCCATCTCCTTCCAGCTTGTCTTAAGACTCTTAACTGCTTACAACATTCTGCTAAGCCAGAAGAAAAGCACAAAGATATGTGGACTCCTGCGGCGTTGAACTTGAAAGTGGTTCCTTGAATGTCCACGAAAATGTTCCCCAATTCATGTTCGCATATTTCCATTATTTTGCTGACTTCTCAAACCAGCCACATCTTTTCTTCAGTCCTCTGCTCAGTTGTTTGACATTTGAATTTTCTGAAAGTTCTTGGCAGAGAACCTTTTATTCGCCCTTGATTGTAGTACACAGCCTTTAGGCCATCCTTCCACTTCGGAAAAAAAACAATTTTCTAATAGCCAACAACAATCAATTTATACTTTTGTTGTTAACTAACCCATCACCCCCTTTGATCTAAGTGACCACTTACTGAGTTTTGAAATACTTCTATTAGCTCCTAGGACACCACCCATTCCCCAGATTCGTGGCTAGTTTTCTGCTTTTTGTTTTTATGTGTGTCTGTGTATTTTTATTTTTTTATTTTTTGGTTTTTCGAGACAGGGTTTCTCTGTGGCTTTGGAGGCTGTCCTGGAACTAGCTCTTGTAGACCAGGCTGGTCTCGAACTCACAGAGATCCGCCTGCCTCTGCCTCCTGAGTGCTGGGATTAAAGGCGTGCGCCACCAACGCCTGGCCTCTGATAACATTCTTAAGGCCTTTTGGTTGATGGAAATCAGTGGTCTGTTAATAGATTCCAAAGGGTTTCACTTAGTAATCAAAAGATACTAGGTCAGACACAGAGGTAGGCAGGAAAAGGCAATTTGGGGCTAACGGTAAGCAGGGTAAATTGTAGTCAGGCTCTGGAAATACAACATTCCAACCTCTTCACAGTCACTGAGGTTTAATCTGTTAATTAGCTTTTGTAGAATGTTCAGTGTAAGGTGTTAGTTTTCACTCTTACTCTCAGAGTAGCTGAAAATGTTAAACCTCCTTGGGAATTTAAATAATGGAATTCAAAATAGATGAGTGGTTAAAGACAGAATAGGACTTGAGATGTGAGCTACTGTAACTTTTTGAGATAGCCATGTTACCTGATTAAAACAAAGTTTCAAACTTAGTTATTGCTGTAACTTATTCTCTTCTTTTTTAGAATTTATTTCTGATCATATAAAATATCTCTTGAAGAATTTACCATTTTTTCACTTTCTCACTTGATTTTTCCCATTTTGCAATCTTCCTATTAGCATCACAGATATGGACAAATCACCCGCTGTACTAAAGACAACCCCTTTCTCTATCCAGTTGTTTTATTCTAATTCTTTACATGTTCTCATTTTGCTATTTAATTTGTTCTTTGACTATTCCTCTGTTTACTATTATAACTTAAAGAGAGGCAGGTGCATGGCTAGGAGCTGACTTACCCTTCAGAATGAGCTGGTTTAGAGCCTCACTAGCATTGAGTTGGCTGGACATATGCAGAAGGGGACATGATTGGTCCTCGTAGCAGGAGACCTTAGAGAACCCAGAGCATCAAACAGGACCTTGAAGGAGAGACAGAGAGAGTATTTGCTTCAGAATCCCAGAAAGGGACTTTAGAAGAGATGGTTGTCATGTATAATATGACATGAGTCCTGAAGAACTAGCTTTCAACTCTCCAAGGCAAAGGGGTTTTGGATTCCTACAAGTTTCCTTGTGGATAGACAGGCCCCATAAGGAGGGGTCTAGCTTGGTCTGGCCTATAAGCTACATATGCGGCACTAGGTAGGACTATAAACTTACCCTAGAGTAGCAAGGCCTGGTGCAGCAGGCTTTATTTATTCTACTGAGGGTCCCAGAGACAGAACTGCGCAGGAGGGAGTCTGTGCTCAAATGGATACAACAGAGCCTGTCAGTTCTTTTTTCTAACCTCCAGACGGCTGGGAGGCCTGCTCTCATTTCTGGCAGAGGGGGCAACCAGAGGGTCTCTGTAACGTGTTACTCATCTGTTCTCATATGTTGTCCACTTGTTCCATTAGAACCCTAAGCATATTTATTATTTTAAATTCATAGTTTTGACAATTCCAAAATGCTTGCCACATCTGAGTCTGATTGTGTTGTTTTATTATTTACCTCTTCCCACTTACTCTTGCCTTTCAATAAGCCCTACATATTTTGTTGTTGAGAGTGAGATGTATCATATTGAATTTGTATGATTAGTAATTAAGCTGTATTTACTCTTTTCTGAAGGTGTTCAATGATTAAGGCTTGGGTGTCCTCTAGTGTCCTAGTTTTGATCTCTCTCTCTCTCTCTCTCTCTGGCTCTGTGTGTGTGTGTGTGTGTGTGTGTGTGTGTGTGTGTGTGTGTGTGTGTTTAGGTTTACATTAGCGGCTAACTAAATTGTGTGAGCCTTGCAGTTGTTTTATACTTCTCTGTATTACAGAAGCCCTACTGTTGTGTAAGATGCCCTGGGAAAGAGACTGCTTATAGAGTCTTGGTCTCCTGCTGGGCTCTTGTTCCTGAAGTATGATCTTCCTGCCTCCACTTCTCAAATGCAGGAATTACAAGTGTGTGCCACCATGTTTGTTTCTCAGCCCCTTTTTCCTCATCTGGTGAGACAAGATGGCTAAGTGGGGCTGTAGTTGGGTTACTTCCTCTCCCTGTTTCTGATAGGCCTTGGCAAACTCCTAGTTGCTTCAGCTCTGGTGAAATGGGCTTCTGTGATTGGTGCTTGCTAAGGAGAAAGGATGATTTTTCAGGTGTGTTTCAGAACAGTTGTGTTCCGTCCACCTGGTGGGTTTACGGAGGTAAAATGAAAATGAGCTGGTTAAGCTGAGCCTGTGCGTATTCTTCAGTAACCAGCCAATTATCACTTATGTTTTCTGACCCCTGAATGGATCCAGTGTCAGTTCTCTGTAAGCTGTGATCTCTTCTCTCTGGCATCTCCAATTTTCAGGGTACTTGTTTGCCCTGTGATCTCAATTGTCTGATGGAACTGAAAAGGAAAGTAGTTTTCAGTCTTCCTGTGAAATGAGAAATGATGACTTTCAAGATCTTTACATGTTGGAGTGGAAACTGGAAGTAAGTCTATTCATTCTTTAGTTCTTGCAACCGGTTGTCTTCACTGCTGTATAGAAACCACCGAAGGTTCTACAGTCTGAGATCTAAGTGCAGAAGGCACTGAAGAGTTGGGGACGGTTGGTGAAGTACATGCTTAGTTTGCACAAGGTCCTGGACTTGGTCCCCAGCACCACATAAACCAGGCATGGTGATGCATACTTGTAATTCCAGCACTTGGGAACTATAGGCAGAAAGCTTTGAAATTCAGGGCCATCTCATCTTTGTGGGGAGATTGAGGCCAGCCTGGACTAGAGATTGTGGCTTTTTAAAAAGTTACGGAAATTTAAAAAATAAAGTCGTACTTGCCTGGGCATTGTGGCACATATCTTTAATCCTAGCATTCGAAAGGCAAGTGAATCTCTGAGCTCAAGCCCAGCCTGGTCTACACAGTGAGTTCCAGGACAGACAGAGCGACATAATGAGACTCTGCCTCAAAATAAAAAATAAATAAAATCACAAATTTGGTGTGATTTCTTAATTTTTTTTTTACCCTGCACCTTACTGGTCACTTGGAATCTATGGGTGTTTACCTCAGATGGCATCTCTGTGCACTTGCTTCACTAGTGACTTAACATCTCTGCTCTTACCTTCCCCAGAAATCCACATTACTCTACATTCCTTGACTACTAGCAGATAGCTCCACCAGGCTGTCACCTATAAGAGTTGAATATATCCATAGCAACTCTTTATATACTTTAGAAGTAAAAACTACTCAACTCAGTTTCCACATAGGGAAAGACATAGTTCAGTTGACGTGTGTGTTGTTTTTTTTTTGTTTGTTCGTTTACGTTTAAAATTAGAAAGCTCTATGGAACATGAACCAGAGAGAATACATTAACCATAGTTTCTTACAGCACAGGAGAGCAAGAGAAGTAAAAGAGAGAGAAGAAGGGGAGAACCACATGGAGGTGCTCACTTAAAAGGGGAAGCTTGCTCATGCGTAACTAGTGTTGTAGCAATGACATGTCCATACCCCTGTGTGTGCCCTGCCTATTGTCAGCATAATTCTGGAGTTCCAATAGTGTGCCTACGAGCTGTGGGATTAGTTTGAAATTTTTCTTATATGCCTTTATATGTGTGTCTGGAGTTTTAGTAAGAATTGAATTACAGAGTAATAGATTCAAAGTCTTTGCATCACTCAAGTCCTATCAGCTCTGTCAGTCATTTTGAGAGTAACCACATTTGTGTGTTTGTTTACATTTATGGTATGTACAAGAAAACTTGAATCTTCTTCAATAAATGTTTTTATTGAGAACTTGATGCTGTGTGTTTTGATCATACTCACCCCACTCTTCTCCTTCCCAATTCAACCTCTCTGTTCCCCTCAACTTGATGCTCTTTTAATTTTTAGTTTAATAACCTGACCTGTTAACTCTAACTTGTGTCCATACACTTCTGGATGTGGGGCCATCCATAGATTATGGATGGTATGGAGTCACATACTTGAAGATAACTGACCTCCCCACACACACACAAATGAAGCCAGCTGTTCATAGCATCTCAGCTAGAATACTGACCAGTTTGCTCTTTTGCAGGCAACTGTAGCTGCCCTGAGTTGATAAGTGCAGCCATCCTGTGGTATTTAGAAGACACTTGTTCCTGTCCTCTCCTCTCTGGCTCTTACAGTCTTTTCACCTCATGTAATAGGAGGCATGAGGAA